GTCCATGACGATGAGGAGCTTCTGCCCCGTGCTTTGGACAAGCCAGTCACGGTGCAGTTCCAGCTGCTGGAGACGGAGGAGCGGACGAAGCCCATCTGTGTCTTCTGGAACCATTCGATCCTGTAAGCCTGCACTGCCCTGCCCCCAAGGCTTTGGGCGGAGAGCTCAGGCCCCTGGGCACCCCACCCTTCTTGTCTCCTGACCCTGCCTCCCTCACGCAGGGTCAGTGGCACAGGTGGCTGGTCAGCCCGAGGCTGCGAAGTCGTCTTCCGCAACGAGAGCCATGTCAGCTGCCAGTGCAACCACATGACGAGCTTCGCTGTGCTCATGGACGTGTCCAGGCGGGAGGTTGGACCCACCAGGGGTAGCTGCAGAGCTGGGGGTGGGAGCCAAGGGCACTGGACTAGGTGCTCAGGCCCCGCCCTTCCTAAGCCCTCTGGCTCTCTGCCACCCACCCTGCAGAATGGGGAGATCCTGCCACTGAAGACGCTGACCTATGTGGCCCTAGGGGTCACCTTGGCTGCCCTACTGCTCACTTTCCTCTTCCTCACTATTCTGCGTGCCCTGCGCTCCAACCAGCACGGCATCCAACGGAACCTGACTGCCGCCCTGGGCCTAGCTCAGCTGGTCTTCCTCCTGGGAATCAACCAGGCTGACCTCCCTGTAAGATGTTCCTCCTCACGCAGAAACCTTCCCCAGTGCCCAGCCCTCTCAGGCTCCCATACACGTCCTCCCCAGCGGCCCCCTCAATCCCTGCTCCTGCAGTAGTGACTGAGCCAGCCTAGTGCCTGGCCCCCAGTTTCCCCCTCTCTAGCTCCCCCTTACTTCCCCAGCACCCTAGAGGTACCTTCCTCTGGCCCAGACTCCCCCTGAAGCACCTCCCAACACCCAGGCTCTCCTCCCCTGTCTGGCGAGAGCAGGACCCACACTCTGGGTGTGCCTTGGTCACTGACTGGGCGCGGCCTGGGCCCTCAGTTTGCCTGCACAGTCATCGCCATCCTGCTGCACTTCCTGTACCTCTGCACCTTTTCCTGGGCTCTGCTGGAGGCCTTGCACCTGTACCGGGCGCTCACCGAGGTGCGCGACGTCAATGCCGGCCCCATGCGCTTCTACTACATGCTAGGCTGGGGTGTGCCCGCCTTCATCACAGGTACCTGCACCCCCAATCCCGGGCCTTGAGGTTCTACATCCCTAGGGCCTAAGTCCATCTTCATGCCACCTTCTCCCACTCCCAGCCCAGGCCCAGAGGCCCACATCCCTATGCCCAGGCCAGGTTCTCCACAAGTATCCCTCTGGTTTAACTCAGCTATTGACACCCCGACTCAGGGACAGGGTCCCCCATCCTGGAGAGGATGGCATGGACATATGGTGGGCAGAAGCCTTCATCCCCTGCACCTGGCCCTAGGAGCCCACTTGACCGCCTGACTGATTTCCAAGTCCCTGATCACCCCTTCCCCGCTGCTGTCACCAGGTCTAGCCGTGGGCCTGGACCCGGAAGGCTATGGGAACCCTGACTTCTGCTGGCTCTCCATCTACGATACGCTCATCTGGAGTTTTGCTGGCCCCGTGGCCTTTGCTGTCTCGGTAAGTGCTGGAAAGCGGCTGGGGGCGAGCAGGCTGAGTGTGACCTCAGGATCCCCTTTGGGAATTGCTGAGGCCTCCATAGGGTGGGGTGGAAGCTGTCTGTTCCCTGATGGTCCCCCTCACATGTCCCCCCTCCCCTGCTAGATGAGTGTCTTCCTGTACATCCTGGCGGCCCGGGCGTCCTGTGCTGCCCAGCGGCAGGGCTTTGAGAAGAAAGGCCCTGTGTGAGTATGGGTTGTGGGTGCCGTGGCAGTGGACGGGCATCGGCACGGGAGGCCTCACGGCCAGACTCACAGCCCGCCCCCTCCCCAGCTTGGGCCTGCGGCCCTCCTTCGCTGTCCTCCTGCTGCTGAGCGCCACGTGGCTACTGGCACTGCTGTCTGTCAACAGTGACACCCTCCTCTTCCACTACCTCTTTGCTGCTTCCAATTGCATCCAGGTACCTGGTCCGACCCATGCCCTGTGGGAGGCCCGTGGAATTGTAGGTGGGAAGCTTGGGTATGAGGTGCCTTAATAAGCACTTAGACACTTGCTGCTTCTTGCCTGTCAGGGCCCCTTCATCTTCCTCTCCTATGTGGTGCTTAGCAAGGAGGTCCGGAAAGCACTCAAGTTTGCCTGCAGCCGCAAGCCCAGCCCTGACCCTGCTCTGACCACCAAGTCCACTCTGACCTCGGTGAGGGAGCCGGGGTCAGGGAGGTGAAGGGGTCATGGGGAGTTGAGGGGGAAGAGGCAGGAGGGACAAAGGCTGTGCTTTTGTCCCACTTTTTCTCCATCTTTATATCCTTTCCTGGAAGGAGGAAGGGGTGGTGAAATGGTATGTGTGGCCTGGGAAGAAGGGGCCTGGGGTCGGGGAGGGGGATTTTTGACTTGGGAGGGATGGGAGCAGAGCTTAGAATAGATGAGGGAGTAGCCAAGACAGGTAATCAGGTCATAAATGCCCCACACCTGAGAATCCCTTGTGCCTCTTGGTAAATCTTCTGTGCCTCCCAGAATGCTCTCAGGAGATAATTCCTGGTGCCATCTTTTGCCAGCAGACCCTTATACAGCCGAGTCCGGGGCACTTGGGGTGCATAGAACTGGCACAGCTATGGCAGAGCTACAACACTACTAGGCCCTGAAATGGGGGCAGCAAAGATGTGGGGCCTCTCTCTTCAGTCCTGGGCATGTGGCGGGGAGAACTTAGGGCAAGCTCCCTCGGCCCCTCCGCTTTCCTGGGGCCACCCCTTCCGGCTCACCCATGTACTGACCTCCCTGTTCCCTGCCTAGTCCTACAACTGCCCCAGCCCCTATGCAGATGGAAGGCTTTACCAGCCCTACGGAGACTCAGCAGGCTCTCTGCACAGTGCCAGCCGCTCGGGCAAGAGTCAGCCCAGCTACATCCCCTTCTTGCTGAGGTGAGCTCTGGTGATGGGACAGTTGGGGAGGGGAGAAGGGCACCGGGCATGCTAGACCCAGGCCAGGCTGCTAGGAGTTGCGTAGCACACACCGTGGCCGACACGGTGGCAGCTTGAAGTGGAAGCAGTGAGGAACATGGGGAAGGAACTGGAAAACCCAGAACAGAGAAGAGAATGGGACACCGGGTGAGGGGCCAGGCTGATGCCTCCAGCATGTCTTGTCTTCTTAGGGAGGAGTCCACACTGAACCCTGGCCAAGGGCCCCCTGGCCTGGGGAACCCTGGTGGCCTATTCCTGGAAGGTCAAGACCAGCAGCATGGTGAGGACGGAACCTCCTGACGGCCAGTGGTGGTGGAGGCACAGCTGCCTAACTTTTGTTGAGGGTGGGCAGTGGCGGATGGGCTGCCTGTGATCTCTCCCACACTTCCTAGATCCAGACACAGACTCTGACAGTGACCTGTCCCTGGAAGATGACCAGAGTGGCTCCTATGCCTCTACCCACTCATCAGATAGTGAGGAGGAGGAAGAGGAGGAAGAGGCGGAGGCCACCTTCCCTGGAGAGCCGGGCTGGGACAGCCTGCTGGGGCCTGGGGCGGAGAGACTGCCCCTGCACAGTACCCCCAAGGGTGGGTCAGCGCAGGGTTGTGGCCTTTGGGGGCAGTGGGAGGGCAGAGGGGCTGGGATTCCTGGGAAGCAAGACTAGGGTGGTGACTCTCCTAGCCGTCTGTCTTCTCTGGGCCTCATCTACTTCCTTTCTCCACCAGATGGGGGCCTGGGGTCCGGGAAGGCCCCCTGGCCAGGAGACTTTGGGATCGCAGCAAAGGACAGTGGTGGAAATGGGGCTTCTGAGGAGCGGCCGCGGGAGAATGGAGATGCCCTGCCTCGGGAGGGGTCCCTGGGTCCCCTTCCAGGCCCTTCTGCCCAACCTCACAAAGGTGAGCGGGGTATGCTCAGCTGCATGCTCCCCCATCAGCAACCTCACTCCTCACACTGGCCTGTGGCTGGCAGGGCTCTCGAGGGCAGCCCCATGCTCCTTCCACCTGCTCCTCATGGCACCCGCCCTCTGGCCCACAGGCATCCTCAAGAAGAAGTGTCTGCCCACCATCAGTGAGAAGAGCAGCCTCCTACGGCTACCCCTGGAGCAGGGCACAGGGTCTTCCCGGGGCTCCTCAGCCAGCGAGGGCAGCCGGGGTGGGCCCCCTCCCCGCCCTCCACCCCGGCAGAGCCTCCAGGAGCAGCTGAACGGGGTCATGCCCATCGCCATGAGCATCAAGGCAGGCACGGTGGATGAGGACTCGTCAGGCTCCGAGTGAGTGTGGCTGGGTGGGCGGGACAGGGTGCAGCCCCACAGAGGCCCCGCCTCCAGGCCTCCCAGGCCGCTCAGGTGGGCAGCAGAGTGTGGCCCAGGTCCCTTCAGGCCACATGCCCACAAACATGACGCCCTGTGGGGTCAGCCCAGCCCAGCATCGGGCAAAGTGAGGGAGGGTGGGGAGCTGGGGTTGCTTTTCTGTTTCCTTCTTCTGGTGAAAGCTTCCCACTGTCTCCTCTGCTCTGACTAACCCTCTGTCTGCCTTTTCTGTCACTTTCCTTTCCTGCCTCTCCAGATTTCTCTTCTTTAACTTCCTGCATTAACCCTGGGCCGGTGGTTCCTACACCCTGAGGCTCCCTTACGCTCCCCAGCTGCACTCATGCTCCCACTCCTGTCTTGTGCTTTATCCCGCCCCTGCTCCCCCTGCCTGCCTGCCTGCAGCAGCGACGAAACATCCATCTGAGGAGCCTGGGCCTTGCCGGGAGGGGCACCCACCCCACCCAAGGCCATCTAGTGCCAACTCCCTCCCCCACCATCCCCCTCACTGCACTTTGGACCCCTGGGGCCAACATCTCCAAGACAAAGTTTTTCAGAAAAGAGGAAAAAAGAAATTTAAAAAAGGAACTCCACTCTTCATGACTTCAGGGATTAATTTTTTTTATACGCTGGAAATTGACTCCCCTTTCCCTCCCCAAAGAGGATAGGACCTCCCAGGATGCTTTCCCAGCCTCTCCTCAGTTTCCCATCTGCTGTGCCTCTGGGAGGAAAGGGACTCTTGGGGGACCTGCCCCTCGTTTGCCATCACCAAAAGGAAAGGACAAAGCCACATGCACCCAGGGCATCAAGCCCTGCGGGCCGCACCGGGCAGGCCTCAGTGCGGTGAGGGCGCAGGGCCGAGGGCACTCCTCACCCCGCCTGTGCCGCCCCTTCCAGGAACTGAAAAAGCCCTGTCCGGAGAGGGGGCAGAAGGACTCAGCGCCCCCAGACCCCCAAATGCTGCATGAACACATTCTGAAGGGAACCCATGCCCCTGGGTGGCGGCCGGGCCACCCCAGCCCCTCTCCTTTCCCTGGACTCTGGCCATGCACTGCAGCCCAGGTGTTTGCTCAGTTCGCTGACCCAAAAGTGCTTCATTTCCCTGCCCGCCCCGTGCTGGGGAAGGCCAGTCATGTGTTAAGTTGAGCTTCTTTGCTATTGTGTGGGTGGGACAGGGAGGAAGAGGACAGATGGGGCTGGCACGGTTGCCCCGTGCTGTCTCCAGCCCAGGTCTCCAGTCTGGGTTCCAGGGTCCACTCGCCCTCCTCTGAGACCAGACAAACCCCACTGACCTGCTGTGGCCTCTGAGACATGTTCTATTTTTATCCCCTTCTTGGAATTGGCTCTCTTCTTCGAAGGACCAGGTCCCTGTTCCCCTTTCTCCCCCTCACCACCCAGCTCCCTGCGAAGAGAGAGTTAATATATATTTTTTATTTATTTGCTTTTTGTGTTGGGATGGGTCCAGTCCCAGGGGGTCTGATGTGGCCATCAGTCAGGTGGGGTGTGTACCCAGCAGTCCTGGCGAGGGGGCCTCAGGCCCTTCCCCTTGCTCCAGGCTGTCATCTCCCCACCTCTCCCTCCCTCCTCAGTTTTGCCAACTGCTGTTCATCTGAGTCACCATTTATGCTGAGCATGTATTCCAGACTTGTCACCCATTTTCCTCTGGAGCAGGTGGCTAGAAAAAGAGGCTATGCGTAGAAAAAGTGTTCCTATTTCTCATTTGTAAGGCTGGTCTCTGGCTTTTCTGCCATGGATTCTTTCCCTGGCCTCTCCCCTCAGCAATCCTGCAAAGGGTTAAAAACTTAACTGGTTTTTACTACTGATGACTTGACTTAAAAAAATACAAAGATGCTGGATGCTAACTTGATACTAACCATCTGATTGTACAGTTTGATTGTAACTGTAAATATGGTAGCATTTTGTGCTTTGTTTTTTTCAGTTCTCCATGCCACTGAATAAAACTAGTTCTCTGCGGGCTGAGCACTGTCATCCTTTCCTCCTGTGTGGGGCCCTCTCCTTCCAGCGTGGGGAGGCCTGGTCGCTGGAAAACACGAGCAGGCAGGGCCCTGGAAGGGCCAGGTCAGGGGACTCAGATATCCTCTCGACACCCCAAGCAATGTCCCCCAAATAGCCTCAGTACTGAGTCCCGTCCTGGGAGCAGAATTCAGGAGGCAGGGAGGGCTGAGAGGCTGGTGGGAATTGAAAGGTGCCCAGTGACTAGGTACATCCTAACTTCATTCCTCTGGGCGGTCTCGTGCTTTTCCCCATCGGAAATGAAGCAACTACTCATACTCTAGCCAGCTGTGTGCTCTGCCACATTACTTCTGTTCCCAAGTTTTGTGTTTTTCGAAGGTCTGTTCAACAAACTAGATAGGGAGTTCACATGGGGGCCATAGAGGGGAGTTGTTAAGAACACAAACCCCGGAACCAGACTGAGTGACTTAATCTCTCTGAGCCTTAGTTTCCCTGCCTGCAAAATGAGGATGATAATGATTTGTGCCTAACTGAGCTTTTATGAGAATTAAATGAGTTGACATATGTTAGCACTTAGAACAGTTCACACTGCATAGTAAGAGACCAAGAAACCCTGGCTTCCTTCCCTGGTGCTACTGGGGAGGGGGGTGAAGATAGAGTGCATAAAGAGAAAAGACAGAAAGCTCGACCCAAACGGAAGGAAGTAAGCAGGTAGTGAACTAGAAGGGCAGCCGTGGCAGGCAGGCCTCCTCCCCCGCAGATGCTGCCTCCTGAACGTTGCTTAAACAGATCTGCAGTGGGATTGGAGGGGCAGTTAACGACACCCTAGACTGACTTAAAGGGCGAAAGGAACATGCCTTGCCTTGTCCTCTTCGGCCACCAGGTGGCAATAGCACGCGGGTCTGCTGCTTGTTTTGCCTCTGAGGACCCACCAGGGCCTGGCTCACACGCAGGCCACACGAACATGCCATCTGCTGGCCACACCTAAGCGTGTGTCTGGGCTTGCTTCTGTCAGACACCAGTGCAGGACGCGGTTGGGAGACGCACCCGAGGTCTTCCTGCCCCTGCCAAATGTTCTCCAGAGCCAGACACTCTGTCTGTCTCCACACACCCTCCCCCAACTCAATGCTTGGAATCCCAGAGGCTCAGGGAAAGGTGAAAGTGTAGGCAGCTGTCACTGCGATATAGGTGAATGTGTTAAATGAACCTTAACATCAGCTATAAAAAGAAGAAAGCCACGGGGAGGGGGGGGCCTGGCCCAGGAACAGGGGAAGGGCCTTTTAGTGCCTCAGAAGGGGGCCTATCGGCATGTAACCCTGGGGGGGCGGGGCACGAGCTGGAACTCACTCCCTTGGCCCAGTTGCTTGACTTCCTTAAGTCAGGGCCTGGCCTCCAAGGAGGAAAAGTCCTCTCAAAACTCGTAAGGAATTGGGCTGGTTCTGGCATTTCCAAGAATCGAAGGCTGTGAGAAAAGGGAAACCCCCTAGTTAATCTGTTAAATGAATCTTTTGTCATTCATTTAACAAACACCCCCCCCATCTTGCACTCAAATATTTTTTCAATAAATGAATAGAACTCTCCACCACATACAAATCACAACACTAGGCACTGCAGAGGTTTATAAATCCTGGCGCCAGCCCTCAAGTCTAGTAGGGGTAAGAAGAGGAGAACACCAACAATTCTAAAGACATAAGGCAGAACATAACAAGGTGCTCAGGCATCTTCTGCCTGAGGCAATCAGCAAACCTGAACACCAGGGTACCCACCCGAGGGCCCCCTCATCCCATAAGTACAGCAGACAAGATGCTGAATTCCTAGGAGTATCCATTCTCTTGCCAGGAAAGGACATGCACGTTTAGAATATAAATAATAATTTACCAAGACCCTGGTTTGATAGCCTCACATACTGTGAATTAAACTCTACTTAGGGCTTCCCCGGTGGCGCAGTGGTTGAGAGTCTGCCTGCCGATGCAGGGGACACAGGTTCATGCCCCGGTCCGGGAAGATCCCACATGCCGTGGAGCGGCTGGGCCCGTGAGCCACGACCGCTGAGCCTGCGCGTCCATAGCCTGTGCTCCGCAACGGGAGAGGCCACAAGCAGTGAGAGGCCCGCATACCGCAAAAAAATAAGTAAATAAACTCTACTTAAGTTGATCTGGACCTTCTAATAACATATGAAGCCTGGAAATGCCTAGAAAAAGGCAGCCTGCTCCCATCGAATGCCAACAAGGGGGCTAGTCATAGCCTGATTAGCTGGAATCTCAAGGGCCTAAGGCCTATTCAGACCCCTGCCTGGGAAGCCCATCCTGGCTCCCTCATTGGAATTACACAGGAGTTTACTCTAAATTTGTTAGACATTGGAGCAGGATTTACTTCCACATGTATTCAGAATATAAAAATATACTCATTTTATTTTAGAAAAATGCAGACCAATGGAGTAAGCTCATCATAAACTGGCCTGTTAGGAGTCATAGAATCCACAGGAAACAAGTTCTGGAGACCAGATGCCTGCCTCTGCCTCTCCAAACAGGCCTGAGTCCAGCAGAGGATGTTATTCAGGAGGACTGCTCCTTGGAGAGCACGGAGGTTAGCTACAGAGGCCATTCACATGTAAATGTCCATCGAACCAAAGCCTGGGATGAAAATCAAACTCTGTGGAGCTAGACACAAGAATGGGGGTGGATGAGGACAAACCACTTTCGAGCATTTCTTATTTCCTGTTTAACTTCACCACTGGGAGGCAACCTCTTTTTCCTATCTTGTTTCAACTGAGAGTTTGATTCCCCTCCAGCTCAACCCGAATCCACCCTATCTCCCATGGTCTCTACTCCTGGGGCACCAGCCATGGTGGCAGCTCTTCCTTCTGTCCCTGGGCCAGAATCTGCTGGAGTCAGGCCTGCCTCCAAGGAGAGAGCTTGGGAAGCTGAATACAGAGGTGAGTCCAGGCAGTGACTATAGTAGTTTGCTACTGAATTCTTGCTTGCTGTCCTGATCTCTTTACCTAAAGAGACAGAAGAAGGAACTGCTTTAAATAGCCCTTCTTTCACAAGCCCATTTGTCACCAGCTGAGTTCAAGTTCAGGTAGAAATGGGACTCCCTGCCCCTCCAGGCTCCCCTTGCCATCCCCATCAAGGGAGAAAGAGACAGCATCTCAACCTGTCTTACCTGGTAGGTCCTGGGACTGCAACTTTCCTGGGGGGCTGCAGATTGCTGCGACCGGCACCAGGGATGGGAAGATTTGGTCGCTGAGAAACAGGAACTTGATGGGTGTTAACGAAAGACATGAGTTAGCAGAAGGTTCAAGTGACCTTCTCAAAAAGAAATACTGGATGAAGGTAGAGTGAGTTTGGGATTAGTGCCTTTCTTCCCACCCAAGATAAAAAACATATGGTATTTGAAAACTGAGGCTCAAACTCTGCCCAGGCCCACATTCTCTCCTTAACTCAGCCTTCCCATCTTCAAACAGAGCTGTAATGAGGGTGGAGAAAGTCACTGCTACCAACTCTGGGAGGGTGCGTTCATGCTGGGCAGGGGTAGGTATTCTTCCTCCTGATTTCTTATCCTTATGGCCATTCTTCTCACCTCTGTGCCCTGCGGCACTTGGTCTTGGAAGTCCTTTCCGAGCTGGCAGGGAATCTGGAGGAAGGGCACCTTTGCTGGATGGTACACTCCGGCTGGTGAGTGGCATCCTGCTGGCAGGCCTGGGAATGGCCGACGGAACAGGCAGTCGACTGGAAGGTTTAGCAGCTGCTCCCTGTGGCCGAGACAGGCGCTGAGAGTTGCTGGTAGAAGGCTGTGGAGCCAAGACTGGTCTGACAGAGGTAGGTGGGCCTGGTGGAGAGAAGCAGAGGAATTTTAGGGTCAGCTCCGCATCCTCCCTCCTCCCACTCACCCACAGCTTTGCTGCCCAGGTCTTCTCACTTGCTGTTGCTCTCCCACTGGGCCCGGCTTTCCCCCGGACTGGAGGAGTTGATCGGGCAAGAGGAGAAGATGCTGGGCTTTTGGATGCAGGGAACAGATTGCAAGTGGGCGACTCCTGAAGCACAAAGAGGGGAAAAAAAGGACTAGAATGGAAAAAGAATCTGTTCTGCTGGCTGATTAAGGGACAGAGGTGGAGAGCTGCCTAGATCCCAGTGAGGAAGAGCAGAAGTTAGCTGCCAACATCATCATCATCATCACCAATGCCATTTATTGAGAGCGGACCATAAGCATTATAGAGCTCTCGCACAGACGCGGTGGTAAGTGCTTTGCTTATGGTACCTCGTTTAATTCCAACAGTCCTATGAGGTAGAATTTGACTATCTCTATTTTACCAACAAGGAAACTGCTCTATGCCTGCACTGAGTCAGGCACAGTGTCGGGGGCACACATCTAACCCAAACCCTCTACACTCACCCTCTTCATGCTGGAGGGCCTCTTTCCAGATGTTGCTCGAAGAGCCCTGACTGACACCTTCCTATCGCTGCTCCGGAGTCGGGGTGTCAGGCTGCTTGGGGAGGGAGTGCTCCGAGACAAAGAGCTCACGGTGGGCAGCAGGTCTCGGACAGGACTGTCCTTGAGCACAAAGGTCTCCCGCCGAGGGCTGGGCTTCACCCTTCGAGGCCCCGGGCCCTCACCGGTGTTCTCCCGCTCCTGCAGGGCACACTGTTCCAGATGAGCTGCCAGCCGGTTGGCTTCACTGAGGATTTCTTCCAGCTTCTCTGGGCTGAGGGGGCCTAAACTGAGCCTCAGACTCTGGGGGGCGGGGGCCACTGCATTTGGATCACTTCGATGGGAGAGACCTCGTCGGAGGGGTTTCTCCGGAGTCACCGACACTGCTGTATCTTCTTCCTCTCGACTGAGAAAGAAAACAAATCAGGCACCATGCCCACATGGAAGAGAGCAGGAGACTACAAGGGAGACTGGGCAAAACCCCCACTACAGAGCTAGGAACACAACCCCAAACCCTGATACCCGTGCTGGCTGTGAGATCTAAGTGATGAGACAGCCAGTTCTAGGAGGCCTTCAGCACTTACTGACATTGGGAATTATGCCAGGATGTACATGAAGCAAATCCACTTACGCTTCTTCTTAACACCCTGAAATCTCGTTCCAGCTTATCCCTTCTCCCCTTCCCCAGTAGTGTCATAGGGGGCGAAGTCAACCAGCCACCCAGAAGCCCCAGTGCACCCAACCTTGCTAAATTACCAATCCAGACCTAAGGCCAATAATTCAGCAGTAAGGTGTTAGAGACAACCATTGTTGGAAGAAGGTAAGTAGGATAAAGAGTCTACTACCTGTCAGATGGTGACAGCCCCCCAAAGTCCAAGGTCTCATCTGCTATAAACTTTACATCTGTAGGGGAGGAGAGAAGGAATGCCAGCCTTTGGTCCCTAACACGGCTCTCAATCACAGGGCCTCATTCTTCCCTCCAGCGTTTCCTTACCTTCTTCTAAATCTTCCATGTTCCAGCCAGCAGGAGCAAAAGTCAGCTTAGACCCCGGAGCTGGAGAGAAAATATACCTTTCCTCAGGTCTCCATCCTGCCCAAGGCCTCCCAGCTAGACTCGGTAAAAGCCAGGGGCTGGGAGTCACTATGGAGGTAAAGCAGGCGTCCCAGCAGCAGCACCTGCCCCTGTAACTGAGGTACTCTTACCTCCGGAGCAAGTGCCGACAGATGCCCCATCCTCCCATCTCCTTCCGCACATTGGCCCCCGCCCCACTGCGACCCGACCTCTTCGCGCTGGGGCGGTCTACGCGCCCCACCCTCCTCCCCAACATCACCCTCCGGGTTCTTCCTCTCCCCAAGCCACCTTTCTACTCTCCGCGGCACCACGCCCACACCACACCTCCACGCCACCCTCAGTTTTCACTTTCCGAGTCGCCTCACCTCCCGCGGAAGGTGTTTTCCTCCCACAACCTTGTCCAGGGAACCCGCTCCGAGGGGGCGGGGCTCCTTTCGAATCTCTCAGGCCCCACCCACTCCTACCACACGCGCTCAATGATTGGTGAAGGCCAGCATCCTCCGCCCTTGTGGGGCGGGGCGGTGGAAGGGTAGCCGGCCGGAAGTCCGCAGGTGGGGGCCGAGTGGAAAGCCGTTCCAAGAAAGGCTTCATTTGGAGGGCTGAGGCGAGGAGGCCGCGAGCGCGCTTGCTTGCCCGGGAGACCTTGTTCGGCTTCCCTCCCGGGGCCGGGCCTGCGAGGGGCGGGACCTCGCGGCGACGCGCGAGGGAACGGGCCAATGAGTGAGAGTTTCGCGACCTGCCGTCCCCCTCTTCTCCGCCCCCTCCTTCTCGTGCGAGGCAGAGCTGAGCTTTGACGCCCCTTGCGGCGGTCGGCCCTAGAACTAACGCTCTGCCTGAGGAAATTCGTTTTATTGGGCTCACTTGGCTCACTCCATTCGGAAGCGCAGTGTTAGCCTGATCCCTCAGGTGTATTCACGGAAGCAACTAAACATTTATATTTTAGGTATATTGAGGTTCTCTAAGACGTACATCTTCCATCGGCTTTTTAGGCGAGAACATTCGGAACCTGAGGCATCCAAGGTGTGAAGAAAACTATGGGCTTTTCAGACAAGGAGATTTGGGTTCAGATTCAACCGTGGCTCCTCTGTTGACAAGTATATTGAGTATCTTTGACCTCTCTGAGCTTATGTTTGACCCCTCGCTTATCTAAGAGGATCGTGACCGTCGCAGTACATGGTTAGGAGGATAGTTATGAACATCAAGTTTTATACCGTGTGCCTTCCTCTAAATTAAAAGCTGTGGTGCAAAAAGCTTAAGCCTACTTATTAGGGATTTTCTTTGTTGTTTCCAAGGTTTGCCTGTGAATAGACTGGGCCACCAGTCTTCTCAGAAATATTCTAAAATTTTTAAGTTAAAAGTCCCAAAAAGAATGGTTGAAGAGCTTTCCCGTAAACAAAGAGCCTAAGCTTTTAGTCCCCAGAGTTTATGACCATTATTTTGGCGGTTTATAGGCTTTTTGTTTACTTCCGAGTTTTTAGTTGTGAAGTTGAGGTGGTGAGGTTGGCAGGAGTGAGATGTTACAGTAATAAATGCCACAGGGAGCAAAGGAGGCTTGGAATTTAGTGGTGTGATAAGGGAGAGGGTGGGGAGACCCAGAACTTGCAAGCTTGTGTGAGGAAAAGCTGAGAGAAGAGGATTGCCTCTTTTTCCGTAGGTTTCCTGGTGACAGTGGAATTTTAGTTGCTTGCAGTTTTCAAATTCTTTGGAGGTAAGAAAACCAGAGCCAGTAGCTTCTCTCTCTTCAGGCAGGTAGTGGAGATCAGAGGGAAAGAAGCTGTTAATTAACTGCATTCTGTCTTCCCCTAGGAGCAGCCTGAGTAGGGAAGTTCTTCACCCACCTTCAGGTAAGCGGAAGAGGCAGTTTTAGCAAGTTGGAAGTTAGTTTCTTCTAAGGAAACTCATCTCCAATTTTCTGTCACCAAATTATGATTTTGAAAGCTGTTGAAGAAAAAAAGCAATGGACCTGCTTTCTCTTCCATCAGAATGACAACAAAGCCAGAAAATACAGATTTCAGGCACAAGAATTCTTCACTCAGCGTAAGGCACCTAATCTGGGAAATAACGTGTCCCCCTCAGCTCAACTCCAAAATGGTATGTATGAATAAGAGTTAAAGATTTGGGGTAAATTATGAAGAAATGAATTAATGAAGAAAGTATACCCTCTCCCAGGCACATGGTAAGCCTTAGTTGAGAAGGTACTTTGAGCATAGTGTTGAGTGCATAAATGATAAACTTAAGGATTCCAGTGCAGTTCTCCTTGAATGCCGGGAAGCCTCTTGGTCACTGTGTACGTGACCGGCTGTCTCGGGACTCTGGCCCCTGCTCCCTAATGGCCCTCTCAACATTCTCAGCCGGGGTTCTGCTAGTGCCTTAGACTCTACAAATGATTTGTTTGACTATTTTCTCAGTTTTCCCAAGGATGCTACATAACTAGTAACATTCTTGATGCATAGGAAGAAGTTAATTTATGACATACAATGAATGCCTTGGGGCATTGGGACTTTCTCATAGAACTCCAGTTGAGAAAGACTGGAATAGATACTTGGCCTCAACTGAAAATAGGCCTTTGGTCTGAACAGAAAAGCTCTTCTTCACACTCAGCCAAAACATATCCACTTCCTCCTCAAAACCTTGCCTTATATTTACTGCCTCCTAGAATTTTTTTCTTTCTTAAACCCATGATTCCAACCCAGACCGAAACAGTGAGGGTCCCTGGGTGAAAGAGGTAAGAGGAAATAGGGAAGACTTGAATTCAAACAGACCTGATTCAAATCTTAGAACTTCTACTTTCCAGCTACATAACTTGGAGCAATTTATAAGCTTCAACTCACTCATTTGTAAAATGAAGATTAAAAGAGATAATGCCTGATGCGTAGAAAGCTGTTTCAGTTATGTATTATTGTGCAACAAACCACCCAATATTCAGTGGTTTGAAACAACAGCAACTATTCATCTGCTCATGATTTTACAGTTTGGGCAGAGCTGTGCAAGGACAGCCTGTCTCTACGTGAGGAGTAGATTGGGTTTGACTAGGGTTGAGAGGTCCAAGGTAGCCACACATGTCTAGGGCTGTGATGCTGGCTGTCAGCTGGGATGCTTGGTTGTCCTCCACGTGGCCTCCCATAATTCAGTAATCTATCCTGAGATGCTTTACATGGGAACTGACTTCCAAAAGCAAAAGCAGAGACTAGTAGACTCTCAACTGGCATAGCATCACCTCCACTACATTCTTTTGGTCAAAGCAGGGCACATGGTCAGCCAAATTCAAGGGGGGAGAAAAAGACTCCAACTCTTGGTGGAAAGAGCACCATGACCATTCCAGGATGGGAGGAATTGTTGCTATCTTTTGCAGATTCCATCACAGAATGCCTTCAGTATCTTATTTGTTATAGAAATGAAAACATGTAAGCAAGAGCACATCACTTTTATTCTTTCCCCAGGGCTTAATGACTCTGCACTGGTTTCTTCACTATCTCCCGGCCCTCACATCTTAGTGCTCTGTCTTTAATTAGCTCTGTGTGTATTTATGTGTCCTGCTGTCTGTGTCTCTGTGATAGATGTGAATCCTGTTTTCCAACTTATACTGGAAAGCATAGAGAGGAAGAGAGCAGGTCATCTTGAGCATCCCCCTTTGAGCACCTAATACTGTATAGAGTTGTCATAGACTGTCTAGAGAAAAGGACAGTGTTAGGAACCTCTGTGGAAGAGAATGTAGTTATGGGAAGAGAAAGAGGAGTCTGGGGGCCCGCAGGTTCCATACAGTCTGGCTAAAGGATTCCAACTTTCTCAATGGTTTTCTATATAGAAAGGCTCAAACAGATGGACACTTATGCAGCGAGGATCCACACCTTTATTTAGATTAGTCCAAACAGACACTATGCTGGAGCTCCTTAAGAACACAGTCTCTCCACAGGCTTCCTGGAGGCACAGAAAAGAGAGGGTATGTTGTGGCCATAACGGCAAACAGTGAGAGCTCATCCAGGCTGCTGAGGTGACCTCCTTTCATGGTCCCTGGGTCCTGTGCTCTGAATTCTGTATTTACCCTGCTTCGTTGCTGGCACTGACCAGGAGAAATGGAAAAGGGCACTAAGAGTAACAAGGATAACACCAACACAACATGACATTAACCTTAACCTTAACCTTAATGCAGAGAAGGAATTGAGGGATGGCGAGAGAACTGTCTGTGCAAGCCAGCTGGCAGAGAGAGATCTCCTGAGAAGCTTGTACTATTTTTTTTTTTTTTGGTACGCGGGCCTCTCACTGTTATGGCCTCTCCCGTTGCGAAGCACAGGCTCCGGACGTGCAGGCTCAGGCTCAGCGGCTATAGCTCACAGGCCCGGCCGCTCCGCGGCATGTGGGATCTTCCTGGACCGTGGCACGAACCCGTGTCCCCTGCATTGACAGGCGGAGTCTCAACCACTGCGCCACCAGGGAAGCCCAGAAGCTTGTACTTTTAATGCATCCCTCAAGGTTTTCATTTGCTAAAGATCAGTGAGAGGCTTAAATAAATGGCTTCTGGGATGGAATTAATTCTTGGGTTTCATTGACCAGGAGCTGCAAGTCAGAGGAGATGTTGGGAACCAGTTCTCTTTAATTCTCTCATGAGCTTCCTTTTCACCCCACTCATCAGTTTGTACACAACATTTCTGCTGTGAGTGATTTAAAGTCTGAAGGAGTTATCAAATTCTAAATGATGGTCTGAGTTGCCCTTTGCCAGTAACGTGCTGCTTGGGACCACATTCCCCACATGTTCAATTATTGTTGACATATAATGATAACAGTGGTTTTCTTCTCTTGGAAGGGAAGGAATCCAAAATCTTCAAAGTGAAAAGGAAGCAAGCTCATCTGGTTTTCACCATGCTTAAGATACTGAGGTAGAAACACTTAATTGATGGGAACACCTTCCTCTCTCTTTTTCTGCCATGTGGTGGTGGTGGTGACCTCGGCCATCCTCCACTCCGGATTGTTTTCTTTGACACCTTTTCTTACAGCACCTGCTCACTCCCTCCCACAAAACCCCCTTACAATTAGGTAGATGCTATCACTCTTTTTCAGAGGGCCGCTAGGTTTAATTCCTGTCATCAACTTGAGGAGTACAGATACATAGAGGATGTGACAAAAGTAGACCTCATCTATGGTAAATTCCCTCCACAGGGATGATAGTATTCACTTACAAGAAAAAAAGTTGTTAAAAGAAAAGTGGTTGCCAGTGAGTGTATGGTTGAAAGGCTCAGGAATATATATCTGTCTCAGACTCAGCAACACTAGCCATAAACATGAAATACTCCATTCAGATCCCCTGTACCTCTCCTTACCTTCCTCAGAGTTGCCCATGTCTGCTTAGCGTGCCTCAATTAGGAGCTGCAAAATTCAGACATCTCTCTGTGTTGACATCTCTCCGTTTTAACATCTCAGCAATCTCTGGGAAACCTTTCAGAGCATCGAGAAGGGATATACTTCCAGGTCTGGGGGGAGTCCATGGTGCTAATTAGGAGTCTATGTGGAGGGAAGAATAGGACATGTACTGGCCCATTCATTCCTGAGTCATGCTGCACATGCTTAGAAAGTGCCCACTGTGTACCAGAAACTGGGCTGGACACTGGGGGACAAGGTGAATAAGATGGTCCCTGCCCTCACAGTGCTCACAGTTTATGGGGAAACAGATCAGTAAATAGATAATTATAAAACAATATTCTAAATGCAATGATGGCAATCTGAGCAAGGGGACAGGAATGGATAAATGCATGAATACTTTAAAAGCGGTAGACAGGATGTGCAATATTTCCATTTAACCAACTAGAGACGAAAGTCCTCTGGTTTGTTTAAAAGCCCAATAAAAAGCTACAGCTTTCCTGGATTGAGTCAGATTGTATAGTTTAATGAAAAATGATCTGGGTAAGGTCCAGCAGACTTGGCCTCTTTTCCACCATAGTGCCAACTCCTCAATTAACCAGCACTGGAAATCGCAGGTAAACTGATCAATCACCTCCCTGTGCTTTAGGTTTCTCCTTTGCAAAGTGGAAATAGTGATTCTTCCTATATTACAGAATTATGATGGAGAGAAATGAGGAATGGATGATAAAAATGGCTCCTAAAATACATCCTGATGATGACAGTGATGAGAAGGCCTGAAGGGGAAGCAACCCGAGCCCTTCTCCATCTAGGCTTGTGTCTCTGCCCTCGACTTTCCCACCTGTGGAGAGAGGAGGTGATTGCACCTTAAGGTGCGAGTTCTGCCCTTACCTTTCACATCCACCCGACAGTCTACTGACGCCTCCCCCAGGGGGTTAACGGCCTTGCAGGTGTAGATGCCCCCGTCAAAGGGGCCAGGCTTGTGGATTTCTAGGGAGCAGATTCCCAGGTGAGTGAGGGCTCTGTACTTGGGGTTGCCTTGGATATCCATCTTGTTCTTTAGCCAGATGATCTTTGGCTGGAAGATAAAGATGAGGGGGGTGAGTCAGGAGCAGCCAACAGGACTCCAGCCCCCCTGCCAGAGAGACAGCTTTGAATCTCGTGCCCAATTGCCAGCAGGTCATTAAGTGACATCTTCATATATGAGGAACAAACACTAAAAGCAAAACTGGAAACATTATCCACATCAGCCTGTCTTGGACACCAGTGCCCTGAGTGTTCCTACGTAATGTGCTGTGGAACAGGCAGATGATGGTGACGGGAGCAAATGTTTTGGTTAGAATGTTCTTCGACACAGCTAAGGTTAGAGCAGAAGCAGAAAGCAGCACAGCCACCCACAGACCTCCTTGCTCACCTTGGGGGAGGCATGGACGCAGCAGAAGAGCTGGGTGTCACAGCCAATGACTGTAGTGCAGTCTGCCAGAGGCTGGGTGAACTTTGGGGCTTCTGAGAAATCTCACTGAACAAACCCCTCCGTCTTGTAAACAGTAGCCGAGGGGACCAAGAAGGGCCTTGCTGTAGTGCCTGAGAGCCCCATCCGTCTTCAACTCTTTCTCCTTAACTCTTCCCGGCTCCGAGTCTCAGTGCTTTACCTGCTTTCTGGATGTGGGCCGGGTCGGCAGTGACAGAGGCTGCCTGGCTGAGCCCACACTGGTTCTCAGAAAAGACTCGAAATGCATAGGAGTTGCCGACGATGAGGTCGGAGACTGTGCGGCTGGCGCGGTGATAGCGCTCCAGCACCGTGAGCCACAGCTGTGGGGCCCCGGAAGATGCCCGGAATGAGACCCCTGTTTTGGCAACTCACTCCACCCCAGCCTACTGCGTGGAACTACCAGAGTCCCATTCCAGAATGTGCTGTTCCTCCCTCCCTCCATCCCAGCTGGGCCTCACCCCAGATTTGGTGTCAGCCTTTTGCACCGCGTATCCCAGGAGTGCGTTCCCGTGTCTTGGGGCAGAGTCCACTCCAGGGTAGCGCTGGAGCCCCAGACATCCACCAACTTGATACTCTGAGGAGAGCCTGGCCTCTTTGAAAGGGCCAAGCATGGCAGCGGGCATGGCACGCCTCACACGCCAGGACATTACCAGGAGGGGCCCCTCCGCTTCTGCTCAGCCACCCCTCCCTTCACCCACCACTGCGTCCCACAGCCCCGCTTCCCCGGCTCTCTGTGCTGATTCCTCTTCAGGCTGGGGTGGGAGCCCCCAAGGACCACGTCGTCTCCCATTCCCCCCACTGTACCGATCACCAGGGTGTCAGTGGTGGCGGTGGCCTCCAGCCCGCCCAGCTGCACGTGGAGCTGGTAGTGACCCAAGTCAGCACACTGGGCCTCTCGGATGAAGAGGTTGGAGTCCCGCTCCCCATTCCGCATGCTCACATGACTGGTGTCCAAGGCACAGCCGTCATGCGTGCGCATGGCTTGAGGTTGGGGTTTGCCCTGAGAAATGGGGAGAAGGCTGTGAGCTGCCCCGAGAGGCCTTTTGCCCCTCCCGGCTGCAACAGGGGTCAGATCCACCAGGTCCACGTGGTGACTTGACTCGCAGCTGCAAATTCCTTGAGTGAGAGGTTGGTGGACTGTCCCAGCGGACTTCCATCTCTCAGCAACAGCCTCAGGATCATGGGAAAGGGGGATGGCTTTGAGTCTCCCCGCCTCTGAGAGTCTAGGTCATGGACACTCAGGGCAGCTGGGACTAAAATTAGCTGCCCAAACTCCTGAGAGCCCTCCAAACTGAGAGCTCCCAGACCCCTGCTGACTGAAGGGCATGGATTAGCCTTACATCATCACCTGGGCATGCCCAACCCGACCTGACCCCAACACCCGCAGGAGTGCTGATGGAAGGGCTGTTTGGCCTCACACTCGGTGACATGCCCCTTCCATTCAAGGCTAGGACGACTGTCCCACTGCTAGCAGGACTCTTGTTTTTTGTTTCCAAATCAAAACCCTGGCCTGGCTCCAGTCATGGACCCAACGTGGGGCTGTCATGATCACCTGGAACGGGATTAGTAGATTCAGAGTGTCTCCAACCTTCCGGACGTAGGTCTGCCTCTGGGCCTGAGGTAGCCAGATCTTGGGGTGCTCTGAGTGATGGAAAGAGAGAGAACGGGGTGGTGAGCCTCCCTGGGGGGAAGAGGAGAGTTTAGAGGACGTGTAAGTGGATGCTGCATCTAGCTGTGCTCCATGGCCAGGTGACCCAGGCAACACTCAGCAAATTAAGCCTCTCTCGGGGAATGGGAAGATTGCTCCCATTGTCTCACTGGGATTTAGGGATAAGCAACCAGCTGTGGGATCCTGTAGAGAGAGTTAGTCTCAGCAGAAAAAGCACTGAAGCGCGAGCCTGACACCTACTTCTTTTAATTGGTAACTCTCCACCATCGACTTTTCATCAACTGAGATTTCTTTTTTGTTTATGCACAGACCAGTCCACTCCGAGTGGTCTGTCTTTCCACTCCTTTTCTACATTTGTCCTCAACAACACTCCTTTTTTCAAGGCCACTTTCAATGTCAATCCTGACCCCCAAGTGTCCGCCCCGCTCCCCAGTTTGGTGCCAGACCCCGAGAAGAAAGCTTTATATTCTGCAGGCAGAGTCATCACCCTGGCCCCACCAGGACAGCACTGATGTCACTGCAGAGGGAGCTGGCATCTGGTCCCTTCTCTGCAGGGCTGCCCTGTTCAGGGGCCTGCACAGTGTCTTCCAGTCTGTGGAGGATCACTTTGTACAGTCAGAATCTGGGAAAGATTAGGTCCACTGCTTACTCCCCCTTGATCTTCCAGGCGTGTTCCAGTGAGAAGAGAGATTAGATTATGTTTATTGGCTTCCAGGATGAAGACAGGAGATGCTCAGGAAAGTGCTGAGTGTAAGTTTGGGGAATGACCAGGTGTAAGTTCCTCTCAGGATGCCTCCGGCAGCCTTGGCTGAGGAAGTGCAAACATCCCACCTGGGTTCCTTTCGGGTCCTAGCTTAAATCTACTCCATTTTCCAGGCTTCTGGTGCTACTGCTTCCTCCTTTCTCAGGCAGAGACAGTCCCCCGCTGCTGTAGTCTTACAGGGAGTGTGACAGTCTCAGTTCCCACCAACTCCCCAGCCTCTCCGCTCCTTCATTCCTATCAGTTGGAAGAACTCCACCCCAGCACACAACTGTGGCAAACAGCTTGATAGCAGATTCCAAACTTTTTGATAACACACATTTCCCTGTAAATACATCCCTGAACATTCACCCCAATGTATGTATGTTTATTTACAAATTGAACTGTTTAAAATGTACATTACATAATGCAGAATTTGAATGGTGAAATTGAAAATAAATTAAACGAAGGGTCTACAAAGCTCTTCCTACACCTCAGTTTGTAGATCGTTGTTTAGAGACCAGGAACTTCCATAGTCCGCCCTGATTAGCATCTTGAGATAACTTGGGCTTTGTGGATGAAGATAGACAGAAATATTCAGTGCATGCTGTCCATTTTATTTGCCTAGTTTCCTTTTTCACCGTGTGGCTTACGTTTTAACCTGGGTTGTGCTGTCTTAGGCTGCGCCTCACCCCTCTACCCTGACAGAAGTGGGAACTGTGTGGTACAGGGCCTCCAGTGCTCTAAGCGCTGTCCTGCCGTACGGCCCAGGGCCTGAGGCCTCAGCAAGGACTCAGCTCGGAACCCAGGCAGCTGAATGACCCTGCTCGGCTGCCCTCTGTTCGACTTTGGCAGTTTGGGTGGAGGCGGGGCATGAAGAACAGAAGAAGTGTTGTGTGATGTGTTCCCTTCCTGTGGCCATCTTGGCAAGCGACCAAGGAGTTGAGAACAGGCGGATATGACTTCAGGGTTTTCTGCAAAAAGAGGGTGGCAATTGAAAAGGAGGGTCAAAACCTCATCTTGTTGGGCTTGGCTCCCCACTGCTGAGTGGGGACCTAACCCTTCACGCTTGCCGGGGAGAGGGCTGGGGAGAAGCCGGCTCTGCTGTCCCTTGCGCTGCCTACAGAACCTCTGAGTTAGGAAGGACCTTGGTGAGCACCCAGAGCAAGGAGAAGACTGGAAGGAAAGGGCTGGGAGAGAGAAACAGCTTTGCTGTTGACCTCACGGCCGGTTGTGAAGTCGTGCTGGCACCATCTAGGAACGTGTGTCTGAAGGACCTGTTCTCTGAGCATGACAGCATATCTGTCCACTTACCTGCCCTTCAGTGGCCACCTGGGACTGGGCACCACAGTCAGGGCTCCTGCAGTGATCTTGCCCCTGGAGGGGAAAGGCCAAGAAGGGAAGGCAGGGGACCACACTCAAGGATTAAAAAGGCTGATGTGAGGAAAGGAACCCAGGCTGTCACGCCTGGAAGAGGTGCCAGTTGAGCCCTGCTCTGCTTACACCTCAGGTAGGAAGGGGGCTTCTGTAGGTAGGTGCATGCTGATGTATATAGTATTTGTTCCCACTTAGTCTTTCCTAGAAAAGTATCTTGGAAAAGGTTAGCATTGTTTCACTTGAACTAAGGAGAAAAACGAAAGAAATAAGTTTATGTGGAACGTAAGCTAAGATGGGGGAATTAGGAGGAGGATGAGCAGAATGGCCCTGAGATCCAGAGGGGATGCCAGCAGGGGGCAGAGACCGAGGAGAAAGGCTGACAGCCAGGATGGTGGATTCTTCCTCCCTGGAGGGCTCCCGGGCCAGTTCTTTGCTTAGAAGTGGGATTCCCTGACAAGATGGTGAACCAGTAGGGGACAAACTTAAGTTACTATTTAGAATGTTCTAAGTCTGAGGACTAGTAGGCGAGGATTCTGCTCTCAGCAGTCTCCCAGCCCCAGTGGGAGGGCAGAGGATGGGCTTAAGGCTAAAGCCGCTGACAAAATATGGGAGGTGACAGTGTGTGACAGCTCCAGGTGCCTGGGCTGCAGCAAGCTCTTCCCCAGAGCACCCCAGGCCTTGAATCTGCCCAGCAAACAAGAGCAATCTGACCCCTTGCTAAGAGTGTTAATAGGAGGGCTCATCTGGGACATCTCTTTTCACACATCCACAGTCAAGCGAGGTGTTAATTGTACTGACCTTGGAGAAACATGGCTTTCCCTGATGCCCAAGGTCTTTCTCCTCCTCATACGCCAGGAGGGATGTGAACCAAAGGCTACAGCCCTAAAGCAGAACCTCGGGTTTCTAAGACCAGGTCTGAGACAGCCGCAGTTTGTCTATGAGATTTTCTCCCTTCATAGAGTCTCAGGTAAAAGACATTTTGAAAAGTCCTTTGAGAGCCCTTGGCTTCTGAGCTGTGTTGCTCTCAGCACTGAATTTCTCTCAGACAGAATACTGTCTTAAAAAGGAGTGGAGAGGAAACTACTTAAAGTCCAGAGATCTCGACTTCTCTTCATTAGAAAACCCTTCCTAATTCTACCGAATTTCATCCCGCTGAGGTTTATGCCCATTTCCTTATTCTCTGCTCATGGGAAATAATTGTTCCCATCCTCTCATAACTTGGTTTCACATGGCTAAAGACTTTCTGCCAGCGATTCCCTAAGGACTGTGTAGTTCAGATTGATGGTATTAATTATGGCCCAGAGAATGAAGGAACAAGATAGACACATTGAAAGAGTGGAGGAGTGTGTGCGTGTGTGAGTGTGCAAGACTGTGAGTTTGTGTGCATGTGTGCACACACATGCACAGGCCTGTGTGAGTGAACGGTTACCAAAAGAGGGCAAATGCACAAGGCAAGCTATGGCTCCCAAAAAACCCCAGAGATTTCCAGGGATCCAAAAAATACCAGCATTTCTTACAGAAACATTAGCAGATGCATAGGGTGTGGACTTGACCTTATCAGAAACTTGTCTGGAGGAGTGTGGTGGGAAAGAAATGTGGTGACTTCAAAAAAATAAACCTAAAAACCTTGTGAAGGACAAGAGTGTCACTTCCTTGAAGGCCATGAAACTAAGATCAGAAAAAATAAAAGGACATAGAAATAGGCAATACTTCTCTGAGGAAAAGACTCCATCACCCTCTCCCCTTGTGGCAGTCTCCCCCTCATGCTGATGACGGTAGCCCTGGCTCAGTGTCACTTTCTCCAACATTTCTCCAGTCATGATTCCTGCTCATTTCAACACCCAGACTTCCAGTCCCTGCAGGGCCGCTCCCAGCCTTGCCTGCCACTCCTTCAATGAGTTTGTCCTCCCCTGCTTCAGCCCATGGTTCCTTTGGTCATTGTCTAGACCAATAACTATAGCCACCATAGAATCTGAATTTCAAGCGTCCCATTCTCTCAGCACCACCTCCATGACAGGGATGGCTAATTGCTCACAACAATTTGTACATATTATCTCTTCCATAGTATAGGGATCTCTGAGAAGGAGCTGTCCCACTTGCTGTATGACAGTGAGACTAGTTCTTGCCAGTGAAATGTGAGTGGAAGTGATGAGAATCACTTCTGAGTCGAGGCTTTTAATGAATGAGTTTTCTATTTCCCATCTGCTAGCTGCATGCAGGTGATCACGGGGCCCTAAGGCATGGCGGAGCCACAAGATGGAAGAGGCCCGGGTCCCTGAATTAGTGCTGGAGAACTATCTGCTCAGTAGGAACGCTTGCTTTTAGTTGTTTTGCCAGTAAGGAATAAACATCTATTGTATTTGAGCCTTAAATTCTGAGGTCGCATAACCTAATGAACAGTCTCTATCCCTTCAGCTCCCTCCCTCTAAAGCTCCGCCAGCAGTGATCCTTCAGCCCACTGAGACCTCTGATCCATTATCTTCCCACCCCTTCACTCTCCATCACCCCTCCATGTTATCACTTTCTTTCCCACCCAAATTAGATTCCATGGTCATCGTTAGACTCACTCCCTTGCATACCCACTCAAAGCCCTAATCCTTTTCCACTTCCTAGCAATACCCAGAGCCAGTTAAATACACCCCCTCAGTGTCTGCATCCACACAGCCAAACACGACTGGGGAAAAATATGCTGACTTTAACTATGCTGACTTTAAATTGATGGCCATTGCCTCCAAATGGACCCTGGCAGATCTGCCAGACTTCCCTAATTCACTCAATCTCCTGTTCTCCTGGGTGACTGTTGTACACCCTCTTCTAAAACTTCCATACCTTCTCCTGAATCCTTATTCTCAGTTGACAATCTTGCTAGTGTCTAAAGCCTGCCTATAGCCTATTCTTAACTCAGCAGCCAGGAAAGTCTTAAAACCTACACCTGATCATGCCAGATCTCACCTAAAACCCTGCGCTGGCTGCCCATCTGTCTCAGGGTTGAACCAGTGTTCACAATGGTCCTGCTACCTCTTTGACCCCAAACCTGCTATTCTCTCCCTCACTCTGCTACAGCCACAGTGGCCCCAATCCATAATGCACATTCCTGCCTCAGGGCCTTTGCACTTACTGTTCTGTTTGTGGAAAACCTTCACTCTCAATATCTGCATGCATTGTTCTCTGGTCTCCTTTAAGTTGCTGCTCAGATGACCTTATTAACAAGACTTTCACTGAATATCCTGCTTGAAACAGCAAGTACACTTCCCACCCCAGCACTTTATACCCTCCTCTTTCTCTGCTTTACTTTTCAGCATAGCAGTTATCACTTTCTGATATTTTATATATTTTATTTGCCTATTATCTATCTCCTTACATAGAATGTAATCTCCACAAGGGAAGTTATTTTTGCCTATTTTGTGCATTTTTGTAACAGTGCCTGGCACATAATAGACACAAAGTAAATATTTGTAGAAGGAAGAAAGAGGATAAGAAGGGACAGTGGGAGGGTGGGAGGGAGGAAGGAAGGATGGTCACTTCAAGGCTAGGGATTCAGCTTCCCAAGCCTGGAAGACACAGAACAGTCCAGACTGAAAGAGGACACAGGGTCAGTTGGAAGCAATCGAGCTGAGATCAGCAGACGGGCCCTCCTACCGGGTCTCAGAGTCCGTCTTCTCCGTGTCAGGGTGCAGTCTGTCCCATATCTCTCACTCTTTCGAAAGCTCTCCTCTGGCCCCTGCCCAGCGTTGCCTCCAGGACACAGTGCCTCTGTGCAGTGCTGAGAGTGACAGAGGATGGTTTCCCAATGCCAAACACCTACTTCTGCTTCTTTAGCCATGGAGCAGTCTTTCTTGACTAAAAGCTCAGTGTCGGCCAGTTGCAGTTCATTTTAATGTCACAAACATTTTGACACCTGCTCTATTTCATGTGTACTCACATGCTAGCCACTGTGCCCTTCTATGTCCCATAGAGCTCCCCATAAGGAAGAGGAGGCGTTAAGAGGAAGGAAAAGTCCTTGGTGCTCACAGGGAACTTGGGGGCCATCTAGTCCAGCACCATAGCACCCCCCTGAAGGCCTCTGGCTAGGCTTCAGTGATGCTATGAACTCCCTGAACTTTGTTGAGTATTTTTCTTGGAGCAAGAATCCACAGCTTTCATCAGATTTTCCTAGGGATCCATATCCACTGAAGGGTTAAGAACTCTGATTTAGTTCAACCTCTCAATTTACAGATGAGAAAATAGAACCCAGAGGGGTGGATTGACTTGCCTTGGGTCACAGGACAGAGCTAGGGTTTGAACTCATGTCTTCTTTTCTCAACCGGATAACAGATGCAAACACTTTGCACAATGTCACAAGGAGTCCTTGCTGCCAGTGACCTCTGGCATGTAGGTGGGTTGAGTCGCTGGGTGCTGGTGGCCCTGAGGCCACACACAAGATCAGGGCCCTTCAGGCCGCACTTGGGGGCTGTGGCCAGGGGCCGTCAGGAGGGAGGAGTGTGGAAGGGATGAGCACCCTCCCCAGGGTTTTGTGGAGACCAGTGGTCAGAGAGTCAGCAGTCCTGGCTCTCGTTCTCCCTCTGCCTGTGACTTATTCCCTGGGCCTTTTGGGGAAGAAACTGATTTTCTGCCTCAAGACCATTCCAGCCTAGTATGTTCCCAATAACTTCTGCTCTCTTTACCTGTTTTTCAGTGGGGCAAACTTGGTCGGCTCTCTGCCCCTGACATACAGATAGCTTCTGAAGACCCAGCATCTTCCATCAGGATGATAAGAGGCAGCAAACTTTCCCTCCACAACCCTATTTGCGGGGAGAACTCAGTCTTTATCCCTGACTTGGAAATAATTTATTATCTATTTGTATCTTTGTTTGGCCTCTTCCAAGGAACTTTGGATTATCTCAACAATCCTTTCGACTACCTTACCAGGTCGATACTATTACTCACCATTTTACAGAGAGGAAATTGAAACTGAGCAGTCCATTGACTTGGCCAAGGTCACGGAGCTGCTGGAGGTGGCCCTGGGAATTGAGTCTAGATGCTGTCTTCTTTTCTTACCTCTCCTTACCCAGGGATTCCACGGTGTCTCGTTTGTGGTCTTTGCATCCTCTGCACTCAAGACTCCAAGGGGCCAGAAGTGGGGACTTTGTGCAGGGAACTGTCTTAAATGTTTCGTGCAGCCTCTGTAGTTGCTTCCGCCGATTACCTCGCAGGAGAGGGGAAGAGCCAGGCTCCCGTCTTCCACTTCTGTCGGCTGAGCCAGGTGCAGTGGGAGCCACCCAGGGTAAATGTCACAGAGCTGTTAGCTACAAAGGCCTCAGCCAGGGGCAGTCTGGGGGCTGGGCAGCAGGGCTGCTGGCAGGGAACTCTGGGGCTGGAAGGGGCACCCACCACCTCCTAGTTCGAAAATGCCTTTATGTTGAGAGGCTCACAGAGACCACAGAGAGGCAGCCAAATTCTTCTTCCGGACGGTCTCTGCTTCCGTGGAGCTCAGGCTCAAATAGGCTAGGGTTTCCCGTGGGAGCCAGTGGAGATGTAGGTAGGGTAGGTGGAGGACCCACGGCTCTACCAAGGGCGAAGCGGAGCGTCACATACTGTTCACCACTTAGCCTCCCGGTGGCTCTAAGCTTTTTGTTTCTTTCTTCTCCAAATCCAGATGGACACCATCTCACCCCTCATTCCCTTCCTGACTGGCGTTGGTATATCAGGTCCCTGTGACAGACGTATTTTAAAGGTAAAAATACAAACCTATCATTATCAGTCACTGTAAATTGCCACAAACATCATTCACTGACTTTTCAGGTAAAAAGCAAAGACCCAGCAGAGACATTTGAGCAGCAAGCTAGAATCCACCAAGGAAGGGGGTGGGGGCTCCAATGGATGCTTCCCCATCCTAAGTACCAATCCCGTGAAACCATTTAGATCTGCAAAACCTATGGAGGTGCAGTCAGGGCGGTAGCGCATCCTCCCAACTCCCACCGCTCACTTCCCATCCCCATGGATCACCTTCTGTGGGGGGCAGGAGCTGGGGAATGGGGCTGACGGCCCCCCGCCGAGGTGAAGCCTGGGCTCCGTCAGCATCCGCTAGGCTGGCTTCTTTCACTTTCAGCGTGGATCCGAGGCCACCTCCAGAGCTGTGGCTGCCTCCATGCTGGGCCACCCCAAGGCTGGGCTCCAGAGAAAGATTTTCACTGTTGGTGGCGAGGGAGGGGCTGAGCACCTGCTCACCAGCCCGGCCTCCCCAGGGTCCCAGCCACAGGGTTATGTAACAGGGCTGGCCTGTTCCCACCCAGCTACTCCCAGACGGCTGAAGCAGGGGCCAGGGGAAGAGTGGGGAGCGGACCGCAGCCCAGAATAGCTGCAGGAGGAGGACCCGGTAGTCCTGTTATCTTGGGAGAGAGAACCGACACCTCTCTCACAACACCAGGGAGGGAGGGGAGCGCTCGAGCTTTTCAAACAGCCCCTCCCCACCCAGACCATCCAAATGGGGCCTCTGGCTTCTGGCAGGAGGATTGGGTGACATCTCGGCTCCTGACCTCCAGCTCATCCAAGGGTGTCCAGGTCCAAGGAAGGGGCCCCAGGATTAGCTGATTCACAGGCACACCTTTAGGTGGTCTCTCCCTCTCTGCTCCCACATTCGCTGAGTTGTAAATTCTCGCCAGCTCAGCCTTTATGGGGGCGGCCCCATCCTCTCCACTCCCCCCGTGGCAGTGCAGGGCAGGGTCTGCACACTGGAGCCAGACCCCCCGGCTCATTTTGGCTCCATCACCAATTGGCTGTGTGACTTGTAACCACACATCACAGTCTCTCTCAGGTCTGTTTCCTCATCTGTGAAGTGGAGATAACAGCCATAGGGTTGCTGTGAGGATTCAAAGGTAATCTGGGTAAAGTGCTTAGCAGAGTGTAGCCGACTAAGTGCTCGATAAATGTAAGCTATTTTTAGGTTGGGCCAGCACTTGTCCCTTTCAAAGCTCCCTTGCCTATGAGATAAAGTACAAATTAAGTGAGAGGCAGCAGTGATGGAGGGGAGAGCCAGGAGCATAAGGTTAGAGGACTTGAGTGTGACTCTGGGCTCTACTACTCACTCATTTGCTAGGTGACCCTGGGAAAACCACTTACTCTGAACCTCAGGTCCCTGGTCCATGAAACAAGGGATGATGATGCCACAATTGTGTTGAAGATAAAATGGTAAAAGTATATGAAAGTGGCCAGAGCACAGTAGGTGTTACATACTAACGGTCCTATGTGATTTCTAGGCTCACCAGACCATCATTTATATGTTCTATGCACTCCATCCAATCAATCTGGTTTCCTATCATACTCTACTTTCTCATCTCCAGAAGCTGGCATCCCCTCTGTGAATATATATATATATATATATTTTTTTTTTTTCTTTAGGCTTAAAGAGCAGTTTTAGGTTCACAGCAAAGTTGAGTGGAAAGTAGAGTTCCCACATTCCCCCCTTCCCCTCCTCTCCTTTATTTTTTATGGAAACAAATGAGTATGGTTGAATGAATGAGCTCCTTACTCATTTCTCCCCTTTAGCCGTCAAATTGGGGGCAGTCATTAGGATCCTGGGAGCCTGTTACTATCTTGGGGTGTGGGACAGAAGCCCAGAACTCATCTTTGCAACCTGTATAGGGACCGAGGGCTAGGACAACCTGTAGACACAGCTGGTGCCCAGGAAGCTGTTTATCAGGAGCTCGGATGACTGAAGAGGGTAACTGTGGAGCTTGACCTCAGGCTGGTGGTGAGAGGCTGCGCTGTGTCATGTCAGGATTTGTGTAAAGGCCTCTTTGACCTATTTCTCTCGTCTGACCCAGCCAAAGCCCTTACGAGTCCAGACAGTACACCAGGGGACTCCAAACACCCCCTCTTATACCCCACTTAATCCATGCTTTGATGAGGAGATTGGCCCAGGCTTTTGGTCTTAGCTCCTTGTTGCAACTGAAGAATCAAATAAAAAAGGCAGACTCCTAGGGTCTTATCCATTGGAAAGGCTAATTTAATAGGTCTAAGTGGGATATGCATTTTAAAAAAAACCTACTGATTCTGTTGCAGGAAGTCTTAGAACACTATGTTAGATAGAATTCCAGAAAATAAACCACCTTGGATAACCTCCTGGGGGAGGGCTCTTCCAGCAGACATGGGCTCCTCAAGAGCAAGGTCTCTGCCTGGTCATCTTTAGACCACGACGCCAGAGCAAGCATTAAATGGAAATACCCGCCAGGACGGAAGGCTGAGCAGTCGTGAGGCTTGGCTAAAGGCTCAGTGGGGGTGGGCAGGAACCTCCCCTAAAAGAAATATTTTGGAGGAGGAAAGTTGCAACTCTTTGAAGGTCCTTAAATGAAATGGGTCAGGAAGGACTACGAGTAAGTGCAGCAGGAGAAACGTTAAGAGGGGCAGATGGAAAGGTGTGGAAGGTAAACTCCTTGGTGTTACTTATCAACCTGCTAGAAGAACATGGAATTCAAGAGAGTAATGACATGCCGCTGCGTGCAGAAGGAAGAGTGTAGCGGTTGAAACGGAGAAGCTGTACGGGGTGGCTCAGCTACACTTTCCCGGAGTAAGAACAAGAAAGCTGCTTTTACAAATACCCATGGGAGGCAGATCTTTGTGAGCATAAAGCAGAAACAGGTGAGTAGTTTTTCCTATAAATTACCTAATACCTTACATGCTATAAATGAATAGTCCTGGCTCTTTAACTGACTTATTCTCTGGTTGCTGGAGTTTGATTTTTGAAGCTAGAAAACTGGAAAGGCTTTCATATTAACAAACTGTAGCTTAGTCATTTTAGTAGGTCAGGTAACAAAGTCCAGTCTGTTTTATTTCTAACCCAAATATTGCAAATATACAGAAAATTACCAGTACAAAGTTAAACACACCCAGATTTATTTACATAATGCTAAAGAAATTTGAGTTTTATTTCCATTTTGTGGAATTTTATTCTAGGGTCTGGCTTTTTTGTGTAACCGACATTGGTCATTGAAACTTGATTATCCCACCTCACATGCAATTTTCTGTCCCAAAGGAACAGAAAACTTGGGTTTTTAGCATACATGCAGTAACGATCTTAATACTGCTTTACACTTTTGTACCGACAGCTTGGGGTGGAGGCAGAGAAGTTACAGAGCAAGGAGGGACCACATGCTGATAGGGAACAAGAGACAAGACAGGGCTGGACAACAGGCACACGGGGACCCTGAGCATTTCTGTGCACGAGGATAAGGAGGGTGCCATCAAACCCCTCCTCCCTAGACGTCCAAACACAGGAGGTGGGCAGAATCATCAGGAACATTTAAGTCACCCGACCACAAACTGAGGGCATGCGGAGGATGAGAACTGCATTAAAGACTTGGGACATATCAATAAATCATTAACATGTACACTATACAGTTTATACATGTATATATGTACACACACACATATATATATAGAAAGGTACAGATTAGTTTAAGTTATCCTATATAAACAAGGACGCTTAAAAATGTACCAGTGTGAAAAAATGCGTACAGTTAAGTTGTTGAAGACAATTTCTAATTAATGTTCTGATTCTTATTGTTATAATGCAAAGTAGCCAAGAAATCAACATGTTCCTGCTATTTTAATCATCCTCCATGAGGGTGAGGCCTGGGCTCTGCTAGGGCAGGACAGCACTGCCAGAGCTGCCTGAGCTGGGCGGATCAGTGGCAGATGGAACAGAAAGTCTGGCACCTGCTGAGTGCCAGTGCTGAAAGTCTGGCCCTCCCTATCACTCCATCATGTGGCAAATCTTAAACTTTGGTTTTTGTCCAAAGGACATGTAAGTCCATGTTAATCTTCCTGCTTGAGGGAAGGTAGTAGCAAAGTTGAAAAGCTGAATCTCTTCCTATTTTAGCAGTTCCAAGTATCTGGGCTTCATGTGAGGCAAGGGGGCGGTACCAAAAATGAGCAGGGCGAGCTCTAAGCCATTGTATACAGGAGCGGGGCTCTTTAAAGCTCTCCGAAAAGGAAAGAGAGAATCTCTCTACCTGAATCATTGGCCTAGAAAATAAAGAAATGACTCAAGTCAGGACAGTCCTGCCACCTGGGGTGGATGTGAACTGCCCTGTACTCCTCTCTCTATCCTTGTACCGTGATGAAGGCCATGGGAGAACCAGCAATGGTTTACAGAGCCAGCGGTGGCCAGTTCATTACTTATCTGTCAGGGATGAAAGGCCAGCTTGGGCATGTAGAGGCCCAGAGGCAAACCTAAGAATTACAGAGATGCACACTGGAAAGCCTATTCAGAGGCAGACGGCAAATTCTAAGTTTTAGTTACAGCTAATCTGTTGAATCTCTTAAGCCCAGCCTAGAACTGCCACAATCCTCCAAACGCTTTCATTCTTCTAAGGGGCATTCCCATTCAATGAACAGCCTAGGTGTATGCATCCCTGGTCTCTGGTCTCACTAAAAACCAAGAGCCCCCTTACGTCCAAGACACCTGTCCACAGAGCACGAAGGATGATGAGTTCTCCGCCTGGATTTTAGAGCTCAGGTCACTTTGGACGGTCTAATATGTCCAACCTACCTTACAGTGCTAACTTCTATTGTTGAAATAATCTTTTGCTATCAAGCCTGAGACTTTACACAACTTTACTTTCAAAGATAATTCTCCTAACCTAACATCGATAGGACAAATTGGAAATCTTCTTTTCTTAGAAGCTGTCATGGATTTAGGCCGTTTTCCTGTCTGGGTGAGGGCATACACTTGTGTGAGTGCAGGCTGACCCAGAAGGCTAACTAGCCAGGCTTGTTAGCAGTCCTCAAACCAACTGAGCTCGCTAGCCAGCCAGTGGTGGGAGGACAAGAAGAATGAAGAGGGTGCCTCATCAATGGAGATTCCATTCCTGCACTCTTGAACAGTGACCCTCAACAAGGTGAGGGGCGGTTTCTAAACACATATTCAAAATTACCATTACTTTTGTTTTCAACCATGAACAACAGGAGAATAAACTCTTCTGTTTACCAAGGTGGCAAAAAAGAGCTAAATACTGCTCTGCAAGAAATGTCACTGATCCGCATCCTAAAGAATAGCAAGTCATCTATAAGAGAGCAGCCCTCTCCAGGTGCTCAGCACTGGCGCGCATCAAAACGTATACGAGATCTGAAGACAACCACTGGCGGTGCTCGTAACACACAGGGACCCTGGCGACTTGCTCCGTTTTTGTACCTCAGCTCCATCTCTAATGGGGATTACAACCCCCGCCTTTTTTTTTTTAAAATCTCACGAGAATGTTGTAAGGTTCAAATTACATAATGCAAGAGAAAAAGTGCTGTGAAAACTGCCAAGTTCTATAGAAATATCATTATAGGCAAAGAGCCCTAATCTTATACGGTTAGAGAAGAATATTAACTTTCCTATCTTAAAACTAATCAGAGAATTACCATGTATCAGCACACCTACCCGAGCGGGTATATGTGGGGAGAAGAGGTGTATGGTGTAAGTAGGTCTTTTCTGGACATCAAATTCATTTTGGGCAGGAGTTGAGGGCGACCGGGGACAAAAGCCGATACTTAAATCATTTGTGAGCTGGTATATCTTTGGAATTACTTTTAATTTAAAAACCTTGTAAAAGGAATGAGCTTTTCCTAAAAGACTAGTGTTCTCTGGCCCTAACAAGTATTAACTCTCTTTACAAAAACTGCCCTAACTTTATAGCTCCCTGACTCATTTAAGTTTACTGCAGTTTCAAAGTCTCTAGAATTCTCCATCCATTCCCTCCCCCACTTTCCCTGCGGCTGTGAATCCATTCTGGTGAGGAGAGAACTCAGCCATCTGCTCACGCATTCTGACAACAGTTAATTTGGCACATTTACTTTTTCCTGACTTTCTAGCCATAAAGTGAACTAGCAACAAAACGGCAGTTTATCAAAGAATGTCCCAATCATAATTATTGGGAGAAACTGTGACCGGCACAGTAGGTATGCTAAGACTGAAAACGTGCTACTATATTCCGGTATAGCAAATAGTCAAGCTGTATTAAAACTAACGATTGCAGCTTTCCATCACTATATGGCCACCCCAAAATCCATCTTGCTACATTTTCTAATTTATCTCATTTTAAAAAATGTCAAAAGGAAAGTTTTTTTAAATTTAAAATACGAACTTAATGTATCACACGAAACATCATCTACACTAGAAGTGTGTTTTTCAGTTGGTTCAGCCAAAAGTTTCATGCCAACAAATTACTTGGCAAAGCTGGGAAAAAGGGCAGAGGAGGAGAGTCTGGTAATAAAATTCTGATTTTTTTAAAAAAGCCTAAATCTGAAAACATGTCTAGTCATGGCTCCATGCAGAGCAGCAACCTAAGAGGAAGCAAATAAGCAGCCATTCTTATGATTCACCAAGGAGCCAGCACAGCAGGCAGGAGGGGACGCAGAAGACTGTGACGTGCCATCCTCAGGGGCTGCACGGCCCATGCCACCAGCCACTCCAGCGAAGAGCTCGCTCAGCCTGGGCACACAGCCCGGGCAAGCCTGAACCCAGACCTTGAGCAAGTCCACTGGCACACACACAAAGCATGGCTTGAAAGATCTCGGAAGAAGCAAGAGTTTCTCCTTTAATAGGTGCTAAATCTAGTCAATTCTCTGCTGCTCCCTTTTTCCTGCCCCAAATTAAAAATATTACCCTTTAAGTTTTCCTGATTTAGTGTCTTGGAAGCACATGTAAGTTAGTTGCCAAAGGGCAATTAATGAGGGTATTGCCTAATTAAACAGGGGAAAAGAAAAATCACTGTGGCCTATGGTCCCTGAAAAAACAACAACAACAACAAAAAGCAGGGATCTGTGGGAGGAGCTGGTGTGCAGTGTTCTTGGAGCGGGGCTGTCCCCAGATGGAGAAAGGCTGCCCAGGCTGTGCCAGTCATCGCAGCCTCTGTGCTCATCTCTGCGGCTGCTTCGTGTTGCCAGCACAGCCCAGGGACGGCACCAAGTGCTTTGTGAGAGTTGATGCTGAAGCTGGCAGGTGCCCTGGGGCAGGCGCCATGCAAAACATGCAACAGTGGGGTTAGTGAAAAGTTCCCTTCAATTCCATTTCATTTCCCTTAAAAAACAAAAACAAAACCGAAAAGGGCCCGTACCTTGCAAAAAGACAGAACTTGAAATGAAAAGTTAAAGAATTAAAAATTTTCCCTCTCTTCTCAGGGCCAATTGTAAGAGTGTTTAGGGTCCCCACCCCCCATTTCTTTAGTGTAGGTCCTTTTGGCTTTGATGGAAGCAGCAGAAACAGAGCTGGGTCCCTCGCAATGGGAAATTTATTTCCCCAAGTCGGAGCCACAGGGAGTGTAAGAGGTACTGCGGTTCCATCATCTGTGCTCAGTCCCAGCTCCTTTGAGGAGCTATTCCAGGAGGTCCTGAAAAGAAAGACATAGGCCATATTATTTACAGACCAAAAAAATCCCTATTTTGAAAGCCATTACCTAGTTTCTGGGCTGGCCAAGTCTTACAGTCATTAAATTGCTGCTTCTAGCTTATACCCTCCTTTGCTTCAATCATTATCTTGATCATGAGTAAGAAAAGATCACTCTTTTTTTTTTTTTTTTTTTTTTTGCGGTACGCGGGCCTCTCACTGTTGTGGCCTCTCCCGCTGCGGAGCACAGGCTCTGGATGCGCAGGCTCAGCGGCCACGGCTCACGGGCCCAGCCGCTCCGCAGCATGTGGGATCTTCCCGGACCGGGGGACGAACCCGTGTCCCCTGCATCGGCAGGCGGACTCCCAACCACTGCACCATCAGGGAAGCCCAAAGATGACCCTTTTTAAAAATTTCTGGACCACCCCTCAAGAAGAAATAGTCTCACCTCATCTGAGTCATCATGATAACCACTTTTATGAGTGTGGGAGGTTGTGTCCAAAGCATCCACACCATCCACACCGTTGGCCTCCGCATGTTGCTGGAGCACAGAGTATCGATGCACCAGGAACCTGCGGGTGGAAACCACCGTCAACTCTCACATGGGGAGGAGGGGTGCATTTCTTATAGGACGGTGGATTTTCTAAGTTTTACACACTTGCAGAATGAGTCACACATATAGGAAGCACAGCCCGTACCTGGCATATGGAAAATGTAAGGAAAGATTTGGGCCTGATGTTTCAGTAACATCACTTCAACTAGTTAGTTTTTGCCAGGGGCTGACTCAACCGTCTGCCCTCGGTGGACTTTCTGGTTTGATTGATTTCTGTTCCTTACCTTCCCCCACAGACGTACTTCTTCACAATGAGCACTCCTGCTACGACTGTGACCAGCATCAATCCCACAGTAGCCAGGATAATCGGAACAGAATTTGACTTGGAATTCTTGATAAATTAAAACACAAACACAAACAATTTTGGGTGTGCATATTCTCAGACAGAATTCAAAGAGGCTGCTCATTCCCCTATTTCTCTGTTGAATGATCTGCAGTCTCTAGGCACCTAATGATGATACTTTCCCAACCCCCGCCCCCAAGATGAACCATCTCAGTGCTACCAGGAGAATATCACAGCTGGCAGAGGGTGACCAGAACTTCAACTGCCTTAAAGCTGTCAGAATGGTGCAAACTCAGTGGCTTCCATGTCAAAGTTACACTGGAAGTTGTAGCAACTACCTAGATCAAATGGTAATTGTGACTGTTCCCCACTACCACTGTTTATAAGTCTTGGAGCTTTTAAGGGTGAAGCAGGGAAGGGAGACTATGATAATAAGTGGGCTGAATGAATCTAAAACAGGGCCAATTACCTGGAAAGGAGCTGTGCCAATGTTATGTTAGGCAAGCCATCCTACGACACCGAGATTTATCTTTTACTTAAGTTGTTGTATGTTTTTACAAATAAGCTTTCCGTATCATTGTTTGAGTGTGACCTACCTGCTTTTGGGTGGGAGATAGGGTGTGTGTGTTTTCAATGTATCCAAGAGGAGGCGGAGCTGGATTCTGGGACAAGTTGTGTCCCTGTGGGCGGTAATCCTGTGCAATCACACACACAAACACTCTGAGGACAGCCACCAGGAGTGCAGGGCGGGGATGCAGAGAAGGAGGAACTTGCCCCCGACAAGTACACACACCCACACATTTTTCTCCCACTGCCTTCTTAATCCCACCCCTTGTCAGGCCCTCATCCCTTAGAAGGTTAGATAGGAGGGAACTGCAGATTGTCCACCTCTCAATTTCCAGATTAGGAACCTGGGGCCCACAGTTTACTGCCCCAAGTCTCACTGCTGGGCCAGTGCTTCTTTATCAAGAGGTTTCCTCTTTACCATATCCCCATATTCCAGCCAGATAGTTCAGTGCTACAGAACTGTAATCAGCCCTAAAACTTGCTTCTAAATCAAAACCAGCCCCTTATTACCATAGTTCAGTTTTTCATTCTGAACACACTTGACATGACTCGGCAAAGAGATCCACCCTACCTATGGTCCAGTGCCCTCCCTTCCACATGTGTAAAACTCCAGCCCTTTACAGCCAAACTTCTTGAGTCTTTTTCCTAAATGACTCTGAGCCTCAGAAATTTCCTCAACCGTATGCATCTAGGACTTGGAAAAACTTTACTGAATACCATTTTTTTTTCCCCAACAAAAACGTTTTCGGTAGATGAGCTTAGCGTTGGGTTATGTGACCATCCCTCATCCTGACAGTTTCCTGTACGAAGGGAAGCCTGACAGAAGTAGTCTGGCCACTTGTACTCAGTAACAGAGTTCTTGACACTGTAACTTTGACTATTCCTGGCAGAACGTGAAACCCCACTTGTATCTAAACCAGATCTACTTTAACATACCTGCTTTTCTGGACTCAGAAAGTTGCTTGTGCACTTCTTTTTCAAGTCTTTCACTTCTCGAGCAGGATTCACTCCGCCCTCGCATCTGTCTCCTGGAATTTTCCGGTACCTGAGAGGCAGAGAAAATTTGTTAACAGAATACAAGGATGTACTTCTGGATTCTTGCTTACTTCCTGAAGACAAGATTTTAGAAGTTGCAGAAAAACTTCTGGTCATTACACCATCTTTCAGGCCTTGGGGGAGATCTGCAGGGATGTTTTGGGGATATTCTGTGTAGTTTCAGTCCTTGGACAGACCACACATCCCTTGCCTTGTTGCAGGGTCATGCCACCTTTCTGCCTTAAGAGACTGTGTCAAAGAACTGTGACCAGGGAATGCAGTCAACACGCGGTACATAAACCACAGGGGAGGGGAGTGTTTATCAGGGAAGGAGGCAGTGAGCCTCCTCTAGAGCAGCGCTCTCTACTGTGGTGGCTATTTACACTTAAATTAATTAAAATTACTTCAGTTCCTCACTCACACTAGTGTCAACAGCCACAAAGGGCTAGTGGCGACCGCATCAGACACAGCAGATTACAGAACATTTCCCCCATCACAGAAAGTTTTAGTAGACAGTATTTTTCTAGAGTGCTCTCAACTACTGCTCAGAACTATGCGGAGAGACGCAGCTTTCACTCTGCACAGTGGAGACTCAGTCCCGATACGGGAGAAGCAGGCATCTCACCCATTTGTCGTCAGGTGCTCTTCTCTCCCGTACAAACAAAACTCTAGGTCGTGGCCCTTGAGTTCTGGCTGTTCCACACACTTGGAGTCATTTTCTGGACGGAAGTAGCCAAAATCACTGTAAGAATCAGCAAATAAGGTATCTTTCAAAGTTGCTGAAAGACAGGAAGCGACTAGCAATGAAGGCTTTATATGGGGCAGTGGATGGTCAATATTCCAGTCTTGGGGTGCCAGAAAGAAGCTAAGGAAGCCTGTGACATATAAAGAGGTCTGTTTAGGAAAAAAAAGCACATGGGGAGGGCTGAACTAAGGGAAAATAGCTTATGGATTGGGCTTCAGACTCAATAGCTAGGAGTCCCACACAGACAGCTCAGGCTCCGGGAAGGGAAGGAGGGCAGCCTGCAGGGGGTGGGGACTCACGTGACTAAGACACAGAGAAATAGTACATCAGCAACAGATCTAAACTCTGGGACACTCAGCAACTCTTTTATTTCTCTCCAAATAACTCATTTACCCATGTTCTACCCATGGCGGGTATGTTAAACCTTTCCTGCCTTCCCCACTTCCGTGTCCCTCTTAGCTTCTTAGATGGTCCCTGCCACCAATGTGAATGCCTGTTCTTGCCCTCCATTCTATCCCATCTCTCCATAGCGCCACCCATCTGCTCTTTCTCTGCTTTCCCCAAAGAAATGACACGAGTGGCCTCGGCCCCATCCTTCCTAATGCCCCTGGGCGGGGGGCTCGTTCCATGGACAGTGTGGCAGTGACCACTAGTCCCACTCACCTGGAGGCTCCTCCTTAGCCTGAACCTGTCCTCTTCCTTCACCATCCTCTCCTTTACTGGCCAGATTTCTTAAAAAATATTTTTTCCTTGTTCTGTTGTACTCATTTACTTTTTATTCTATGCATTTGGGCTTCGACCCCCTTCTGCAACCTTGAAAATGAATGTCTGTGGCCACCCAGGGCTCACCAGTCATCCAACCTAGGGGGCTCTCTCTGTCTCGTTCACTCTGATCACCTATTCTGGGGCACTTGCCACAATGCTGTGCCCCACCCACTGAGGCCCTGAGAGCGGCACTCGTCTGTTTCTTTGGTCACTGCTTGCTCTGCTCTCTTCCTAACCCATAAGTGCAGGTGTTCTCCAAGATCCTATAATTCATTCTCTTACTCCCCCTTCATGAGCTTAACTATTTGTTGCAACTAAAACTTCTAGGTTTTACCTCTCTTGAGCTCTAATCCTACATTTCCAAATACCTGCTGGACACTGCCATCTAAATCTGCCGACAGAACCTCAAATAAACAAAACATTCAAAATACATCACGTTTCCTCCTTCATGCCAGTCCCTCCGGTCATTTCCTCCGTTTGTCCAGGACACTACCTTCCTTCCCACCATCTAAGTTGGAAACAGCCTGAGCACCCCCATCTGGACCCACTCACTTCATCGTGACTACTGTAACTTCCCCTCATGGCCTATCTTCCAGCACACCCTTCCTGATCACGCTGTTGGGGTGGTCTAAGCCCACATCAGTCCACAGGCTTTAACGACCTGCTTCTTCCCAGATGTGCATGGTCAAATCCTACGGCTCGTCAGGGCTCAGCCCAAATGCCACCTCCTCTACAAAGCCTTCTTTGACCCACCTACCTCCTTTCAGCTCTGGATGGAATAGTCTCTCCCTTTTCTAAATCCCCAAGGATCCCACCTTCTGTTTCAAACATAATTATGTGCATCTTACCAGGAGAGTCTATAATAAACTTCCTGTTATCACTTTGCACTGCCCTGTGCATAGAAAATATTCAGTGAATATTTGGTGAATATATAGATGCTGCTTGTACTTCAAGGCTTTCTGACAAATATTTAAGGGAGAGGGTAGAGAGAACAAAAGATACAGAAGATACCACACCTCCAATAGCAAGGAGAAATTTCTGGCAAAAATTTTATGTGTTCAATCCAAAATTTCAGGGACCATACCCTTCCCACTCACAAAGTACACATTTCTCAAGCACGTGGGGTACAGTGGGCAGGCTCTGGAGCTGAATGGCCAGGTTCACATCGCAGCTCTGCCACATGATGGCAAATTAGTCATAACCTCTCTGTACCTTCATTTCTCCCTTTGTGAAATGGAAATAACCAGAGTACCTCTCTCACAGGGCTGCTGAGGGGAAGTGTAAACAGACGTACTGCTAAAAAACGTCAGCGGCTATCATTATGACTATGTGATTATCAAATACAATATGCACTCAAAGAGTCTGGAGTTTAATGGTGGAAGCAAATCTATACACAAAAACTAAAATATGGTAAGTGCTGTATTAGGAGCCTAGATGAGGAAAATCTGGGGAAGGCTTTAAGAAGGCGGTATTTGAGCTAAGTATTAAAGGCTAAGTAGGAATTCACCAGGCTTGGGGTCAAGCAGGGAAAGACTTCCAGGAAGCAGCAGCAGCATGCACGTGGCATGGAGCTCTGAAGAAGCACAACATGTTTGGAAAACAGCAGAAGCTCAGGTGACCGAGAGCCACCCTGTGTGCAGTTAAGGATGGGAGACAGCCCTTCAGAGTTTGACAGTATGAATAAGCTCTAGCCCTATTACAACATCAAAGTGATCTGAGTGATATTTTCCCCTGCGGAAATAGAGAAGGGAGGACCCCTGGCCATTCCACAGATATGAGCCATGCAGGAGGAAACACACTGGGTCAGGCTGCAGTTTGCTCAGTCCTGCATTCTCTGTCACCTGCATTTCAGGAGAATACATTGTGGGAGGACAGGACTGCTATCTGCCTGCCTTCTTTTCCAAATCCACTTCTACCTCCTGTCAGTATCTTTTGCAGGTAACAAGTTCCATAAGATTAGTACCTGTGATGTGAAGCAGTTCCTCTTATTTGCCCTAAGTTACCTTGCTTAGGCTACCTAGGGACTCCCTTGCCCTTGTATAATCAACTAACCCTGTGCCAGCCAAGAAACTAACCCTTAAGCCTGGATGGTCCTGAACTCTAGGGAGTTCACCTTGATGGCTTCTAACCCTTGATGGGACATACAGACCATACCTACTGATGTCACCTCCTCTCTTGGGACAGATCCACACTCTTTCCGCCTTCAGTCCTGCAGACGACCCCAAACCTAGTACCCTACCTGCTACACCCAGGCTGTCAGGCTGCTTGCTAAAGTCCAGTTTCCTCTGAGCTCCTGTACCACTTTTCTTGGTGTTTCTGTCCTATCATCTTCTCTCTCTCTCCTTTTTAATTCTCATCCTCCTTATGTACCTCTCTCCTTCCCACCACTGCCAAGTCAGGATGTCCAGGGGTTGTTGCTGGTTCTGGCCAATAAGTAACTGATGCAATGTTATCTGTCCAATTATTAACAACTCTGGTTCCCTTTCTCTGTGCCTCAATTTCCTTAATAAGAAGCAACAGTACTCCACTCTTGAGGAAAAAGGGAAAGAAAAGGATTTAAAGATTTCTGAACTGTCTTTTGCCTCCTCCAGCACGGGAAATGGCTGATAGGGATCTGAGGGATGCTGATACCAGAGGAAGTCCTCCAGGGAGCAGGGACAGACGGACGGCTGCTTGGTCACAACATAGTCCCGACCATTCTGACAGACGGAAGACTTGCGTAGCCGTAGGTACTGTTCTTTATAGCCTAAGATGCAGCCATCTCCATAATCTCCAGGGTCTGTGGAGTGAGCCAGCCATATGGTATAGTCCTTCTCTTCACCTAAAAGAAAGACAGGCTGTTCAGGAAACTGCATGGGACAGAACCCACCCATGTGATGCAGCTGCCAGGCAATAGGAAGAACGAGGAGAGGAAAAGTAGGGATGTTTGACTCAACCTATTGCTTCACTTTGGAACTGCAAATGAAAGTTAACATTAGTGGGAGCCTACCAGCAATGGGCTTTTCTTCATGCCAAGGGAGGAGTCTTTGCATCTCACGACACATTTGAGTTCTAGGAAAAACCTTATTTTTGAAGTGGGGAGCTGGATGGAGAACCTCTAAGGTTCCTTCCAGACTGAGAAGCTTCTGTCTTTAAGTCTTGCACACCTGTGCCCTTGGTCAGCAGGAGCTGTCAGGTAAGCAACCAGATGCTTGCCTTTAGGACAAGACACCAATTAGCCAAAAGCATGGGTTTAATTTCACTATGGGTTAGTTTGCTTCAAACGGAAGGGGAAACATACTTTCTAGGCTTTTAACTCTTGTAGACTGGCTTTCAAATGAAGACCGTGATGACAGTCAACCTGGCTTAGTGTGTCATATCATCCACTCATGGAAAAATGACTCAAAGGCTGTGGCCTAAAGACTGTGGATTAGGTTTTTATCTTTTGGGATGTGAAGACCAGAACAGGGCCCTGTTAAAGAGCAGGGGCTGGGGCTTCCCTGGTGGCGCAGTGGTTGAGAGTCCGTCCGCCTGCCAATGCAGGGGACACGGGTTCGTGTCCCGGTCCGGGAAGATCCCACATGCTGTGGAGCGGCTAGGCCCGTGAGCCTCAACCACTGAGCCTGCACGTCTGGAGCCTGTGCTCTGCAACAGGAGAGGCCGCGACAGTGAGAGGCCCGCGCACCACGATGAAGAGTGGCCCCCACTCGCCGCCAACTGGTGAAAGCCCTCGCACAGAAACGAAGACCCAACACAGCCAAAAATGAATATAAAATAAATAAATAAATTTTTTTAAAAAAGAGCAGGGGCTTAACAAATCTTTTAATGATGTTACACTTCAGGGATAACTGTAGAGCTGCCTGCTGAGGGGAAAACTCATAAGCCAGCTCCTTTACGGCCTATTTAGTGAATTTAGATTATAATGACTCTCCGATTTTAAATCACTGAAACATCTTGTAGAAAAGTAAGGTCCAAACTGAGTGCTTCTGCTTCTTGCAGGACTCACTAAAGTAACATGCTGAGGAAACGGGCCCCCAACACAGCCTAATAACAGTCAGGACCAAATTTAACCAGAGCTTCTCGAAACTTAAGTCTTCTACCATATTATGCCAGAAAGCAACTATGGGTCACAGGGAGTCATCACTTTTTCTCCAGTTTTTTTTTTTATCCTCCATGTTTTCAGTACAATGTCAGCATCTTTGGTACTGGGGGCCTGGGTTTGCTTGTCATTCTTTAGGAACACCTTGCAATGAATATTTTAACTTCTCTGAAGCCATTTTCTGGGCCTTTAACATGCCTTCCAGTTTGAAGTCACAGCATTCTGAAATGGTCAAGCCAAACTCTTTGCATGAAAACTTCCTCACTTCAACATTTTGATAAGTGACACAGTCAGTTAGATGGTCTTTGTAACACACTTTCCTCTACAGTTCTGCTGTAATCAAGTGTGAAAAACCCTGAAGTGTTATGAAATAATTTTAGACAAACAAAAACATGCATTATCCTTACAAGCAGAAAAAACTCTCAGAAAATGCTACAGAGATCTAAAGTACAAAACTATACTCTCCTAGATGTCCACATGTGGCTAGTCTGAATTGAGATTTACCATAAGGGTGAGTATAGAATATGCACTGGATTTTGAGGCCCTAGTTAGAAGAAAAAGAACGTAACAGATGGCCAAAAAGCACATGAAAAGATGCTCAACATCACAAATTATCAGAGAAATGCAAATCAAAACTACAATGAGGTATCGCCTCACACCGGTCAGACTGGCCATCGCCAAAAAGTCTACAAATAATAAATGCTGGAGAGGGTGTGGAGAAAAGGGAACCCTCCTACACTGTTGGTGGGAATGTAAGTTGGTACAGCCACTATGGAGAACAGTATGGAGGCTCCTTAAAAAACTAAAAATAGAACTACCATATGATCCAGCAATCCCACTCCTGGGCATATATCCAGAGAAAACCATAATCCAAAAAGATACATGCACTCCAATGTTCATTGCAGCACTGTTTACAATAGGCAAGACATGGAAGCAACCTAAATGTCCATCGACATTTAGGAATGGGTAAAGAAGATGTGGTACATATATACAATGGAATATTATTCAGCCATAAAAAGAATGAAATAATGCCATTTGCAGCAACATGGATGGACCTAGAGATTATCGTACTAAGTGAAGTAAGTCAGACAGAGAAAAACAAATATCATATGATATTGCTTGTATGTGGAATCTAAAAAGAAGGTACAAATGAACTTATTTACAAAACAGAAATAGAGTCACAGATGTAGAAAACAAACTTATGGTTACCAGGGCAGAAAGGGGGAGAGGGATAAACTGGGAGATTGGGATTGACATATACACACTACTATATATACAATAGATAACTAATAAGGACCTACGGTATAGCACAGGGAACTCTACTCAATACTCTGTATTGACCTATATGGGAAAAGAATCTAGAAAAGAGTGGACATATGTATGTATATAACTGATTTACTTTGCTGTACAGCAGAAACTAACACAACATTGTAAATCAACTGTACTCCAATAAAAAAATTAAAATACCTTAAAAAAAGAATGTAAAATGTTTCATTAATAATTTAAAAACATTGCTTACATGTTAAAATGATAATATTTTGGACATACTGAAATAACTATATTATTAAAATAAATTTTGCCTCTTTTACTTTTATAATGGAGCTAGTTGATAGCATAATTTAAATTATATACGTGGCTCTCATTTTATTTCTCTTGGACAGTGCTAATCCAAAGAGGGAAGTGCTTTTCTGGTACCATCCCTTTGCCTGCTAACCCACATGGAACATCCTTCAGTCCTCTTTCACACACATGATTTTCTTATTCCAGCTAGAAGAAATTAAACTGAATCGGTTATTTAGGAAAATGGGCTCACAAGTTTCTGGTAGAAAAGTTCAAAGGAGACACTCACAGTTCCTTTCAAGGATATCTTTAAAATCGATGGTGTAGGAGACCCACTGGCGAGTCAGGAAAGATTCTGTGAAACCCCAGATGCTGATGTTCATGGACCTAGCTCCAGGTTCTGAAGCCAGGCCAGTAAAGTAGATAGGCTCCCTGGTAAACATGTAGGTTTGCCAGCACTGACCCTCGTCTGTGGAGAACCTGAAACCACAATTAGAGAAAGATCATGAGAGAGGATCAACAGTTACGGGAATATCAGGAAACCACCGGCTGTTTGATAACAAATCAGAGAAAAACTCTCATATTTAGGTGATGGCTTACTATTATATTAATTTTTAACACCTATAGTTAACGGGGAAAAGGGATTCACTCAAATATCACAGAAGAAAATGCCTTTATAAAAATTCTTCCAGGGCTTCCCCGGTGGCGCAGTGGTTGAGAGTCCGCCTGCCGATGCAGGGGACGTGGGTTCGTGCCCCGGTCTGGGAAGACCCCACATGCCGCGGAGCAGCTGGGCCCGTGAGCCATGGCCGCTGAGCCTGCACGTCAGGAGCCTGTGCCCCGCAATGGGAGAGGCCACAACAGTGAGAGGCCCGCGTACCTCAAAAAGAAAAAAAAAAAAAAAAAAATTCTTCCAAAGGAAGAAAGGATAGTGACTCATGTAAGAATGGGCTTCCAAGTCAACAAACAGAAATTATATAATAAGAACTTGTACTTAAGGAGTCATTTCCCCTCCAGAGTGCTTAAATGCTCCCATAATATTCTTGTTGGGAGGGAGAAGAGTATTTTTTAAAAGTGACGAAAAGTGTTAGCTAGAGGGAGTCAGAGGAAAAAACAAAGCTATTTAATTTGAGTTGCTCTAAATGCAATCCTTTCAAGCACCTTCCCTACAGCTCTGTAGAATGCACTAATCTGAATCAGGGACTGTAACTTCCCCCCAACAAACTGACAAACATCCCACAGTTGCTCTCTATGCAGATAGTGTGGGTGGAGCTGAGCTCATGCATACTTAATCACATTGATAGGACGGCTGCTGTGCTCGATGGCTACAATGATGCCTCCGGAATCCAGGATGGTGTAATAGTGAGGTCCTTCCAGCATCTTCAGCCAGGAGTAACCCCCATCATCTGAGATGTACACATCTGGGATCATCACTGAGATGGCATCCCCCACGCTACCTACAACACAATCCACCATCTCATCAGCACATATTAGCAACGAAACAGAGAGGATTTACTGTCAAGAGAATAATTCTGAATGAGTTTATTCTGATTATTTCCCATCATGCCTCTTGTAACTGAAAAAAAGGCCACTGACAATTTGGTAAAGGGAGAAGTCATGTTGCTCTCTGATGAGAGTCTATGAAAAACCCACAGTATCATTATCTTGCAAGAAATTCTGCAAAGGATGGTAAAAGCCACGTATGGTGGTTTTCTCACAGGGCTCGACACTGTGACTGAGTTTCAGTGTGCCCAGCCACTTCTTCCTGCGGACGTGAGGGTGGGCTGCTTACCATGGGCGATGACTATGCCAACAGCGTTAGGCTCTGAGAGTGGGGCCATTGGAACGTTTAGTTTCTGGGAGATGCTGTAGGAAGCGTGAATATGAAGGCTGCACTGTGGAAAGAAAGCAAAGCTTAGATTAAAACCAAAGGTGAAAATTTTTTTCTCATCTCAGAGAGTCTTCTAATAAGGCTTTGAATGTATTAACCCAGACTTCCGTGGGATACTCTTTTTAAAAAAAATTGTGGTAAAAATGACATACCATAAAATTTATCATCTTAACCATTTTTAAGTGTGCAGTTCAGCAGTGTTAAGTACATTCACACTGTTGTGCAGCCATCACCACCATCCATCTCTGGAACTTCTGTGTCCTGCAAAACTGAAACTCTGTGCCTGTTAACCGGTAACTCCCCATCCCCGCTTCCCCCGACGCTGGCAACTACTATGCTACTTTCTGTCTCTATAAGTTGACTAGTCTAGGTACTTCATAGAAGTGAAACCATACGGTGTTTGTCCTTCTGCGATTGGCTTATTTCACTTGGCATAACGTCCTTCCAGTCCACCCATGGTGCAGCATGTGCCAGAATACCCTGCCTTTATAAGACCGAATATTATCCCATTGTGTTTATACACCACATTTTGCTTATTCATTCATCTGTCAATGGACACTTAGATTGCTTCCATCTTTCAGCTATTGTGAATAATGCTGCTTACAAACATGCATGTTCAAATAACTCTTGAGACACTGCTTTCAATTCTTTGGGATACATACCCAGAAGTGGAGCTGCTGGATCATATGGTAGTTCTACACTTAACTTTTTGAAGAACCCTCATATTGTTTTCCATAGCAGCTACACAATTTTCATTCCCACCAGCAGTGCACAAGGGTTTCAATTTCTCCACATCCAAGTCAACACTTATTATTTTTTATTTTTTGGATAGTAGCCATTCTAATGGATCTGAGGTGATCTCTTGCAAATCAAAAGTTTTGATTTGCATTTCCCTAATAATTTCCCTAATAATTGGTGGTATTGAGCATCTTTTCATGTGCTTACTGGCCATTTGTATATTTTCTTTAGAGAAATGTTTATTCAAGTCCTTTGCCCATTTTTAATGTGGGTTATTTGTTTTTTTGTTATTGAGTTATAGGCTCAGTGGGATATTCTTGATTCTGAAATGCATTAGTATATTTGGGAAAAAACTATGCAATTATTTTCGCATGTGTAATCTGTCTTAGTTTACTTTATTCCTGCACTACACCAAAGCCTCTGATCAATATTTAAAGTATGATTCCACACAAATAAACTTGATGAACGCCTGACATACTTCAGATGCTGTACAAGATGTGGCGGTGATTTGAATAAGACCCAGTCCTGTCTTTAAGAAATATTTCTCAGAAACTAGTTGAGGTATAAAGCAGGATGAAAATTAGTGCTTTACAAGAGGTTCAAATTGGTTAAAATGTTAATATTATGCCATGTATATTTTACTGCAATAAAAAAAAGCTTCAAGCAAACTGCTAATGAAACGAAGAGCAATGATTAGTTCTAACTGAAGATGGGCACTAAGGATGGTTAGGATTTCCATTAACCCTAATGAACTGGGGGTAGGGGAGACAGGTACAACTTCCCCAGGAATAACGTGGGCAAGAGGCAGCTACATGCAGGGTGTTCCGGGAGCAGCAGAAGTTACAAGGGGCGTGCCAGTGATAAAATGGGCAATGACAATGAAAAGGCAGAAGATATCCTGACAGGGGAGGAGGGGACCTTCATTCGCCAGATCACAGGCAAAGGGGAACCACAAAGAGTGTTGGGGAGGGAGAGACACAGCAGCGTGAGGGTTTCAAGGTAAGTAAAGAGGCCACTGTACCTGCTCAGGCTTAAGGTGAGAAGGGCAGGTGCTGGGCAAGGCCAGGGCGGAGGGATGGAAAAAGGGGAGCAGGATAGGGAGAGACACTCCACAGCACTCATGAATACAGAGAAGAGAGAGGGTGTGATGGGGGTGGTGTACCAGAAAGCCCAGCTGGGAGAGCAGAGTGCATATCAGCCACAGGTACTCTGAGGAGAGCTTGGAATTACCAACACTGTCACTTTTGAAGAAAACTCCCAGGGTTCCACTAAGCTCCTCTCAAATTCTGTAAAAGTCAGACATAAAGCTTGTTTTTTGTTTGTTTTTCCTTTTTTTCTTGGCTGTCAAGACCTGTCAATCATGAAACCTGGGATCTCCTGGAGCAATGCGTTTGTATTTCTAGCTCTTGGTCTCTCCTCAGAGGGCTCATCTCCTGCTTCCACATGCCACACCGGGTCACCACCCATACCCACCGGCCACGTGGAGCTTTGGCAGAAGGGAAGAGACACCAAGTTCTCCTTCATTTGTTGCTGGCTAGTACAGCTTTGCACTGATCATGAATGGCTGGTCTATGGCTTTCTGTAGAATTCCTGAAGTTTCATAGCTGCCATCATGACTCCTAACTAATCACCGGCCCATCTGTCCACTATGTTTTCATTCAGCAGTTTAGTACAACACAAATTGTTAGCCTTCAATTTTGTTTTTCGTTAAAGACAAATAAGCCAAAATATTTTGGTCTTTCTTCGCCGTTCCTATTTCCTACATCGTAGTTAATTTCAACCCCTCATTTCCAAATTTTCCACCTTTATCTGTAGACCCTCATCAAGTACAAAACTTCATTATTCAAAAGGCTGTAAGAGCAGAACAGAATGGCTGCTTTGCTCCAAATACATATGACAGTTGGAGTAAAACAAACCTCGTTCTTATTTTTTGCAGTAGCATCGCATTCACTGTTCTCAGGCTTCCTTAGGTGCTTCCACCTTCCTCCTTGGTCAAAAGTGATCATAGTCTGGATAGAATTATCTGAATAGGAAAAGGATGATATTAAGCCTGATACACTGGAAGCACCCTATTAAATTCAGTTTATCATTGCATAACTCTCTCCTAACAGAGACTATATAACACCGCTAGAACTCTGGAGTCCCACAAGCTTGTTACATCCAGGGAAATGGCTCCGTGCTGGTGAGTATGATATTTGAAAGAGGCTTCCCACCTGAACAGGATCCAACTGATCCCAGAAATCATCTACACTGATGCTCTTATAAAAAGATACCTTTATCTCCTTACCAGCACTAACAGGCTGACATCTATTCTTCCTCCTTATTTGCTTGCCTTGGAAGTAAAATCTACAGTGCGAAGGCATTCTAATCGTGACTCAGACAAGGCCATGATACGGGGCTTGTTTTAGTGAATCTCAAGATTTGAATGTATCTGCATAAGTCTCAGTTAATAATTCCTAATTTTGTCTCTCTGCCACTCCATATCCTATCCCTCTTTTACCTTTTCCTTTTTTTTCTTCATGTGTCTTCCCCATTCTCTATTCTTAATGATATAAACTGTTGCAGGTTTAAATTCAAAGATATTATGCTTTGAGTTTCTCAAGGAGAATCAAAAAAGAAAGCAAATAAGGTAAATTTCATTTATTCAATAGATGTTTTATTGTCTGTCCACTATGTGAAAACTGCTGTAAGGCTTTGGGAATATATCAATGAACAAATCAGGAAAAAAAACTTTGTGAAATATATATTCTAGTAGGGTAGGGCAGACAAACACTAGATATTGTACATAGGTAAATTAGATAGTATGTTAGAAAATAAGTGCTGTGGAAAAGACTTGCACAGCTAGAGGGGGACTGAGAGTGTACGTGTGTAGGGGCTGGCAGACTGACATTTAAAATAGGATAGTCAGGGCAGGTCTCATCAGAAAGTAACACAACCAAAGGCTGGGAGGAGGAAAGCGTCAGCCTTGCAGATATCTGGGGAAAGAGAGAGAGCAGTCAGTGCAAATCTCTCAGCCACGAGTGTGTGATTCTGGTGTGTTTAAGGACTGGCAAAGGGCTGGAGTGACTACAGGAGAGTGAGCAAAGCAGAGAGGAGCTAGAAGTGAGGTCAGGGAGGAACTAGGGTGTCAGTATCACTTGGACTTTGCAGGGTCTTCACAAAGTGAAAACAAACATCCCCCACCTCCTTCCAAAAAGTGAATACATAAATAAACAAAACCTAAACAAATCTTTGTACTTTAGAGTAATGTGTTTACTTGTGCAACTGGGCCACAGTAAAGGGAAGGTCTGAGAACCAGTGAAGAGAACACCAAGAGGAATCTCGGCTGGCTATCACTCCGCCCACCACAAGGCGAAAAGCATAAGTGGTCTAAACTCCTTCCTGTAGGCCTGAACCTCCCAACACAGAAGACTTATTTTATAAACAATGTAGAACCCCCCAAATCTTTCTTTCTGCCTGCTGCTGTTTTGCTCTTTCTTAGTTCTATTTACCATAACTTATTTAAAATAGAGAGCCAGAATTTACATGGATAGCCCTGTTGACTAGGCAAGCAACATTACTGGGGAGGATAGGATCCTCAGTTTCCCCAAAAGCCTCCACTCCCAACATGTTCAGCTGAAGGAGAGCTGTGCCGAGACCCACCTTCTGAGAGCACACTTGTCATGTAGACCCCACGGAGGGAGGTCACGTTGGTAAAGTCTGTCTCGCCACCTGTGGTTGTGTAGAGGTGTCGGTCCAAGGACTTGGAATAGACAATGCCTCGATCGTCCGAGGTAAATATAGTGCCAAATCCGGTATCTGGAATAGGCAAACAAACAAAAACATTAAGTCTTGGGAGGGAACAGAGAGAAAACAATAGTCTAGTCATACACATGACACATGACTGACTGACTGCACACATCAGCCAACTCTCTCCCTTCATGATGTACACGCAGACCTGAGAGTCAATCAAGGTTTGATACTCAAGATCTTCATGGCCATCTTTAATTCTAGTACCCAGCTTAGTGCCTGAAATATAGCAGATGCTGAATTTGTTGAATAAATTAATCAGATGTTACAGAAAAGCTCTTCTCAGTTATACTCTGGTGGCAGAGGCACTGTATTTAGCTTCATATCTTACACATCTTTTAAAATCTTTACACTCTAAAATAATGCTTCTCAAACTGTGGTGAAGGATCAATTTTAAGATTTCAATTATGTCACAAACTGATGCTTTTGTAAATATAACAAAAATTTATCACTAGAAAAATGAAATACAAAAGAAAGAAAAAATATAATCCTTAAATTTTTTTTTTATTATTAGAGTCAACAGATACAAAATTTCTTTGTCAAAGGGCTGTAAGAGTTTCTAAATGCTCGCTCTTGCTTTCCATACATATTTGGTAATAAAGAATTTGCAAATCAGTACCAGTCCTCCGACCATTCTTTGAGCAGCACTGCTCTAGAACACCTGGTCATACTATACAAACCGCCTTAGAGGCTCAAAGCAAGTGGCCTTTTTAACAGAGGCTACATATCATCTCTAAGACACAGTATTCAGTAGGCCAGTAATAAATTCCTAGGGGTAAAAGGAAAAATTGACACGTAAGAAGGAAAGCTACTAAAATAGGGTTCAGAGCTTAAATCTCTGTGCTTCAAGGGTAAGCCACTGCACAGCTCTTACCTCCAGGTTCGTCTACATGCATGAACACCATGTCATCATTAGCTGCTAGAATAGAATAGAATTGTTCCTGCCCCACAGAGGGGAGCTGGGCCATGCTCCATGTGTCCCCTTGATCTGTTGACACATGAATCCTTCTTGTTGTATCCTGGAACAAATGCCAATATTTATCTTTTAAATTCTCTACCAAGATGCCATGTGCAGTGACACGAAGAGATACATTATTAATTATATGTATCATTATCCATTTCCTCACTGGGTACAACTCTTAAAAATGAAAGGTCCTAGTACCAATTACCAAAGCTATTTCTAACCTCTTGCAAGATCCAGGCACTGGAACAATCCATCCTACTGTAAGTAAGGTTATCCTGGGTTCCTCTTTGGCTTCTTCATTCTGGTGTGGCCCCCTAAGATATTAACCTCCCAACTTCTGACACGCCAATTTCCTTCAATAGAGATTAGGGTTTGTCGGGACCATCATTAGTTTGGCTCTATAGCCATTCGCATATGCTTGCTCAGATAATTCTTTTTATTTTTTAATTGATCAATTAATTAATTAATTTTTGGCTGCAGTGGGTCCTCGTTGCTGCACGCGGGCTTTCTTTAGTTGCGGTGAGCGGGGGCTACTCTTCGTTGTGGTGCGCAGGCTTCTCATTGCAGTGACTTCTCTTGTTGTGGAGCACGGGCTCTAGGCGCGTGGACTTCAGTAGTTGTGGCACGCAGGCTCAGTAGTTGTGGCTCGCGGGCTCTAGAGCGCAGGCTCAGTAGTTGTGGTTCACGGGCTTAGTTGCTCCGTGGCATGTGGGATCTTCCTGGACAAGGGCTCGAACCCGTGTCCCCTGCACTGGCAGGCGGATTCTTAACCACTGCACCAGCAGGGAAGCCCTCAGATAAATTCTTAAAATGATGACTGCTGCATAGAAGTTTGGTCCCTTTGAGACAGTCCTGGCATAATCCAAAGAATTAGATAATTAAGGGTCTAGAAAATGGAGACGAAACGCAGGCTTGGGAGATCATGAGGGAAGTCAAAATGTGACATGTCTCCTCTTTTTTTTTTTTTTTAACATCTTTATTGGAGTATAATTGCTTTACAATGGAAGTGTTCGTTTCTGCTGTATAACAAAGTGAATCAGCTATACATGACATGTCTCCTCTTTAAGGAAGGCTCTCCGAACAGCCATGATGGAGGGAACATGCCAGCCTGGGAAGAGGCCAAGGAGAGTCAGAAATTAATATAATGAAGCTGATCAGGGAGTATTTAGCTGTTAAAAGGAGTCTGTTGAGGAGGCAATTAACACATACTGTCTGATAAATAGTTTAAAATAGCTTCTAGACACAGTTTAGCCAGGGCACAAGAATTAGTCCCAGAGCCTCCTTATGTTAAATACTCTTCAGTGACAAGTACATTTAACTTATTTTTCTAACTCACATCTTAGATGTTTACTGTGAATCTTACTGTCACTGTTATAGGTAGAAGCTAGAGTTCAAAAGCACACAGCAGAATTTTAATTTTGTAACAGTACAGTGTATAGGCGACTACCTCTGGAATTAGACAGTCTGGTTTCCACCAGGGTTCCACCTCTGGGTGACCCTAGACAAGTTACTCAATGTCCTCAAATAAAAACCGAGATAACAGTATGAACTTATAGGGTTGTGGGGAGGATTATTATGAAAGTGCTCCAGGGCGTGATCTGCAGTTACTATGTCTACTTCCCCATCTCCAGTTCTCTCTGAACCCACTCCAATCAGCCTTTTAACTTCAGTACTCCAAGGAAACTGCTTTCATCGAGGTCACCAACAACCTATACTTTTCCAACTCCAGTGGATAATTCTCAGAACTCATCTAACTACACATTTCAGCTGAGTTTAACACAGCTGACCACTTCTTCCTCCTTGAAACATTTCTTTCACTTGGCTTTCATGACATCACCTGTCTTATTTCCCCCACTTCACTGGTCCCTCCCTCGAAGTCCTCTTTGCTGACTTGAACAGTCTCTTTCCAACGTTTCCCTGCTGGGGTGATTCAGGGCACCAGGTGCTCAGCCCTCCCACCTCTTCTTGACTGACTCATTCCTCCACAAGATACCATCTAGTCACATGGCCAGATGAGATTATACCATATGATTACACTATATAATTTTGGAAGATTCATATACCCAAGTGTTTACTTGACATTTCCACCTAGATACCTAACAGGCATCTCGCATCCAAAGCTGAATTCTTGATTTTCTCCCCCACACACTTGCTTCTCCTGCAGTCTTTGCCATCTCAGTAAATGGCACCACCATTCACCCAGTTGCTCAAGCCAAAGACTCTAAAGTTATCCTTGGTTCATCTTATTCTCTCACAATCCGCATCTCATCCATCGGCAAACACTATTGGCGATACATTTAAAAATATATCCACAATCTTACCATGTCTCCCCTCATCCACTGTTAACAGCCTGGTCCAACGTACCATCTCTCTCACTGCTGCTCCTGCTGCTTCCATTCCTGCCCCATGAGGCTATTCTACACACACCTATTCTGTCAGAAGAGACGGCCAGTTACGCCATTCCCCTGCTTGCAACCTTTTCACAGCTTCGCAACACGTGAAGAATGGAAGCCAAGGTCTTAATCACAACCTACAGAGGCCCTGTGCGATCTGGCCACTGGCTGCCCATCTCTGGACCACCCTTCCCTATGCTCCAGCCATGCTGCTCTTCTCACTTTTCTTCAGTATTCCAAGCGTACTCCAGCCTGAGGGTCTTTGCACTCACTGATTCCTCAGCCTAGATGTCCATGCGGCTGTGCTCTCACTTCAGTCAGGTCTCAGAGAGCCCATCCAAACCACCCTATCTAAAACAGTGCTGCTCTGGGACTTCCCTGGTGGTCCAGTGGTTAAGAATCCACCTTCCAATGCAGGGGATGCGGGTTCGATCCCTGGTCAGGGAACTAAGATCCCACAGGCCGCGGGTCAACTAAGCCTGTGAGCCGCAACTACTGAGCCCGTGTGCTGCAAACTACAGAGCCCACATGCACTAGAGCCTGCACGCCACAACTAGAGAGAAGCCTGTGCACCACAGTGTAGATCCCACGCAACGAAATAAATACATAAACAAACAAACAAATAAATAAATAAAACAGCGCTGCTCCAATTCCCGCCTCTTTCTATGTATTCACTCTGCTTTAGGTTTCTTCACAGCTTTAATCATTACCTGATATTATGTCATATTGATCAGTTTAGTATCTATCTCCCTACTTGAATAGAAACTCTGGGAGCAGGACATTTATCTGTTTTGTTCACTGCTATATTCCCAGAACCTATATACCTAGTATATAGCAGGTACTCAATTAATGTTACATATTTCCATTATCTTTATTGAATAATAAAGGCAAGTAGATTGCTTTTATCAGAATCCATGTCTGAGTAAAGCCCAAACACTGGGTCTACATATCGCAAAACAGATACCAGAATTCAGTTGGTGACACAGGCCAAAGTACAGAGGATCCCAGAAGAGTCAATCAGCCTCTATAAAAAGAACCACCTCCAAATCTTACGGTGATATTAACTATGCAAAGGGCAAGTAACTCCATCAGTACCTGTAGTAAAAGCTACCTATTTGAGGCATAATTTATTAAATATTGCAAGAGGCAAGAAACTCCATCAGTACATGTAGTAAAAGCTATCTATTTGAGGCATATTTACAGAAACATCAGAACCCACAGAGAAGAGGCAAACACCCACCTTATCAGCCATCACAGAGGCAAAAAGGAAACGTCCCCCAAGACCAAATGAGTAGATTTTCACACCAATGGTTTTGAAGCTTTTTCCCAAGTCTGAAGTTCTCCGTAATTCCAGTGCCCCAAGGTCAGCTTCTTAAACAAGACAAAATATTAATTAAAATTTCACTTACTTGTGAGCCTCTAGTTCAAAACAATTGTTTTAGAATTGTTCTTAGTTTTATAGCAAAAGAATTTTTAATCTTATGCATGTTAATCAGGTAACAATATAAAAGGATACAGAATTAGACACAGGAAATTCACAGTTGGGTTTTATCTTTATACATGTGAGGTTTTATATTGGACAGAAAGACAGTTTACTTAATTCCAGTACAGTGTTGCATAAAAACACCACAGCATCCTGCTTTACTTTCTTCACAACACAGTTTGCAATTATCTTATTGTATTTTAAGTTGTCTTGTTTGAGTTTCGGTTTTCCTGTTGATCATCCAACATCCCTACTTGAACTGAGGCTCCGTAAGAGCAGGCCTTGGGTGTCTCGTTCTCGCCGTCCTGAGAATGGTGTTTAGCATACTACTGCAGGTGCTCAAATGAATGGATAAACGAAATGAGTCCGCTGAATGAATAAATGAAAGATTACGCTTTCAGCTTCGAAACTGTGCCGCTGATTGGAAAGCCAGCGGCTTCCACCTACACAAACACAGTCCATGTTCTTTGGCAGAAATCACTATGCATTTCAATTTGTTGTTTGTAGCCTCATATTTACTTCATGTAAATACATTGCTAAAATTAAGTATACTGTCTCCGTGTATAGCCTTCATTTTTTATTTGATCGAGGCAGAGTATAGTACTTGGTTGTTTGTACTTTCAAGATTTTAAAAATCACTAACAGCTAGCTATCTTTAGCTATCAAAATAACAAGAGAATGGAAACATCTTTGATGCTTCTACCTCTTACAACCCAGAATAGTCTACCATGAATGGACACCAGGACACTCTTTTCTGGGACTAAAATATACTTACTGCAGGAGCCATTCACATAGGTGGTAAAGAAGATGGTGTTTTCTGATCCCCTACAGTGAGGCAAAGACAGAGAAAAGACACGGTTCAAGACTGCTAACAGACTGCACCAACCTTAGTCACTTAGTTCCAAGCAGGTCTAATAAGGGTCACCTATGGGTACCAGCCGAAACAGCCTCCTTGGATGCTGTACACCGATTCTTTCACAGCCTCACATCAAGGTTCCCACAGTCTGGCCCCAGGCGTTCTCCACACGCCACCACTTCTTTATGTGAACTCTTCCAGCCAGTCAAACTGGTCTCCTTACACTCTCCAAACCTGCCTCTTGCATTTGCTCATATCATTTCCTTCTTAAAACACTTGTCTCTCGTGTGACCAAATCTTACCCTCACAATCTTCAGGCTCCAGGTTAAAATCTAACTCTTCCATGAAGCGTTCCCTGTCACTCTAACTGGAAGCCTTCTTTGGTGCAAACTTCTAGAGCAGTGGTTCTCGACCAGGGGCGATTTTGCTCCCAAGGGACATTCTTGGTTGTCACAACTGGGGGAGGGGGATTGTTACAACTGTTTAGTGGGGAAAGGCCAGGGATGCTGCTAAACATCTTGCAATGCTCAGGCCTTCCCCCCCGCAACAAAGAACTGTCCAGTCCAAACATCATTAGTGCTGTGGTTGAGAAACCCTGTGCGAGAGCCCTGTGCTACTCTGTGTCAGCCAGTTGGCACTCCTTTGTCTCCTGTTTGGCTATTTTAATTGCATAGTGTTTGTCTTATCTCTCCTACTACACTACTGAGTTCTTCAGGGCAGGTACTAAGTTTTATGCTTTGTTGTTTCCCCTTAGAACCTAGTTCAAAGCTTTGCATGAACTAAATAATTTAGTTCTTTCACCTCAAATAGACAACTAGGTCAGAGGTTGAATTATTTAAATTCTAACTTGGAAAGGGAGTTTCCAGGGAACTAGATTCAGACCTTGATAGTACTTATAGATTAGCACCAGCAAAAGGTGCTGGGTCTCAGACACAGAGGACAAACTAGTGGTTACCAACGGGGAGAGAGAGGAGGGGAGGGGCAAGATAGGGGTGGGAGATTAAGAGGCACAAACTACTATGTATGAAATAAATAAGCTACAAGGATATGCTGTACAGCACAGAGAATACAGCCAATGTTTTTTAACTATAAATGGAATATAATCTATAAAAATTTTGAATCACTATGTTATACACCTGAAACTAATATAATATTGTAAATCAACTGTAACTCAATTAAAAAAGGGTGCTGGGTCTGAGCATGTTCTTTCAGAACTTTAGATTGTAACTTCCTAGAAACCAAAGATCTAAAAGGTGAGTAAATAGTTACCAGCAGCCCAGATCTTATATTTAGACACCATGAAGAGAAACAAGTTACAAAAGTAAAAAATCTTGTATAGGATACAAAATAAAATACCATTTTAAAATAACTTTTTAGTTTTAAAGATGAGTTTTCTATTTATTTCTTTTAGCTTTACTGAGGTATAACTGACAAACAAAATTGTAAGATATTTAAAGCATACACCGTGCTGATTTGATATACAGATGTAAAGGTGAGTTTTAATGATCAAAATTATTATAGTCTTATTTGAACACACCTTACATATTTTAGGTCTATCAGGAGCGAAATAATCTGTTAACTTTGTTAGTTTAAAAATTCCTTCCTGATAAGACCATATAGGATATAAACACAATTAATTAAAATACATAAAATTAAAGCAGATGTGACACGTGTACCACAGTGGTGCTGTAAAAACCTAATTTAACCAGCATTTTCTAAAAAAGGACACTTTACTTAAGCACCATTTTTAATAGTTTATTTTGGTGGACATACTTGGCAATGTCTGTATTACACATTTCCCTATCTCCCTAAGTAGAGGACATTAAATAGTGAACTCTTCCTTGGGATTACGGACCATCGTCGTCAACGTCAACCGTATGAAACGGTAACAGTGTTCCTATTGGAAGTTACTGAGGCCTGTGTGCTCTCTCGACACAGCACTAAATCCTTTCATCCCGTTGCGTTCTCTGTCTGCCTACTCTGAGAGTTCTCCTGCCTCCATGTGGCTCCCAGGCAGTGGACTCTCAGGCTGGCCTGTGCTTGCTGTTCACACTCAACATGCCCCACCTCTGGCAGCAACCTGCTATCAACTGGGAAACCAGATCAACAAACTTGCTGAAATTAGTCAAAGAGAAAGAAGAAAGAGGCTCTAAACAAGGGTCTGAGCCTAATCAGAGTTTTGGAGGTATGAAGGCTCATAATTCTTGCTCAACCGTCCCCCAAATTCCCCAAACAAATCTCCTTTCACAGAAGGAACAAACTAAAGCCCAGAGAGGTTAAGCCTCGACTAGCAGCTGATCCAGGTTAGAACAAAGGTGACATGACTCCCATGTAGGAGCCTCCTCCCTCCCTCCATCGTCTGTAAGCCGGGGTTGGGGAGGGGCACCGAGAGAAGTGAATGGATTTTGGTGCACGGACAGTGTGACTCTGGCAGTCGGGAAGCTCTTTGAGCTTTCTTCCTGATGCCTCACTACATTCCACATAACTGAAATGGATCTCTAGAGGAGATCTCTGTGTGCAGAGAAGTATGTAAGTCCCCAAATCAACGCTGTACTTCATGCTCTTGCAGCTGATGTCACCATTTACATAAAATCAACCGTTTGCAGGCAGCAGCTACTCAGTAATGTGCCTTGTTTTATACTTTACATTCTAAAACTTAGTGAGACTAAGTCTTCTTTCCCAGAAGAATCAGAAGCTCCTCCAGGTCAAGGTCTGTGGCATACCCCTCTCTCGCATCCCTTATGGCACCCTGAAGAGTACCCGGCACATAGTAAGTGCTCAATATTTATTCCTGTGACTTCTGGCAGCACCGTCAGGAAAGGTTTAGGGCCCAGCACAGATGGAATGTTCTGTTACTCACCATTTGGCCAAACATACTGCTTTGTGGATTTCTTCCCATTTTCCCCCAAAATTCTTGGACACCCACAGGCCATTCTGAAAGATTATAAATGACTTATCAAAATTCCAGCTTTATCCTGTGCAGCTGCTTGTATGACCTTTAATAACTCATATCCAATCATTCAGGACAGTAAAAACACACACTGAAATTCCATCCAAGCTTCCTGAGCTCCACAGACACACACACGGTTTATGGGGGCCCTTTGGGGTCTTGCAAGTTCAGAATAACAAATGCTTATGAAGTGCCTACTGTGTGCCAGGCACCATACCAGTCGTTGCACTGGGGACACAAAGATGAATACGACACACTCCCTGTTCTCAAGGAGCTCACAGTTTAACAAGGGGTGCACATAAGGAAGTTCAATACATGTGGTAAGTGTTACGGAAATATGGTCTCTGGGGTACGAGCAGGGAAAGGAGGGACACTGCATCAGAGACGATTTGTGAAGAAGATAGCTGAGTCTTAAATGATGAGCAGTGTAACCAAAAGAAGGCAAATGGGAGATGAGATATCACTGCACAAAGACAGACTAGTACAAGCAAAGGCAGAGAGGTGATGAAACATCTCAGTGTATGCAGGGAGCTAAAGCCTTCAGACACAGGTGGAGCACACATTCCAAGGTGAAGACAGGAGGAGCCAGTGCTGGGTTGGGGGTGCACTCCTTCTATGCCATGCTGAGGAATCTGGTCTTTCTTTTATATGAGGTACTTGAAGTAGGTGAATGACACAACTAGTTTTACTTTTTTAAGAGAAATACTTGGATGACAGTGGGAAAGATGGATTTCAGAGGGTTCAGACTAGAAGCAGGAAAAGCAGTGACTAATTGCCACATTAGTTCATTAAGAGTTAGTGAGGCCTGACACCACGGCTGGGAGGAGGCGGCTCAGGAAGAATTTAGATGCTGGAGTCCGTAGAACTGGACGGCTTTTCCTGTAGGGCAGGACGGAGTGTGTGTGTGTGTGTGTGTGTGTGAGAGAGAGAGAGAGAGAGAGAGAGAGAGAGAGAGAGAGAGAGAGAG